CCGTATAGTGCTGGCCAGATGTAACAGGGTAAGAGTCGAACCCTCAATTTGATACTAATGTGGCGACAACATAGTACTTTTGTCAGGTTATGAAAAGAAGCCCGGGCCATTTTGATTCGAGATTTAATTTCTTGGTCGGAATCCCATGTTTCATTTACCCATGTCCCTAAGGACTAGTGTTGCCGCACGCAATTAAGGGTTCTATCTGCTACGACCATGACAGGTTTAATAGTATTACTGGTAATAACCACTACCTTTGTCATAGCAACATATATATATAATGGTCAAACCGTCATTTACGCTGACATGGTGCACTCTATTTATAAGTGTTTGCAGGTCATCTACTGAATAATCAAATCAATCAAAACTGTGTGGTCTGCGTACCGTTGGTTGTTTATGATTTTTTCATTCGCCTTTACACCTATCTCTACTCCATTAAAAAGCAGTAGTAGTAGTAGTAGTACTCTTACTGTTACTTATGGGTATAAAATAGTGTACGACCTATTATCAGCCCTACCGAAATTGATAAAACTCAAGCCATTGCCAGGAGTATGTTTACAAAAACTGACAAAAGAATTTTATATATAGACGGAAATTTGTATGTAAAGTTATATTATATTCCGAGATATAAGTATTTGGATATAGCGGCACATATAATGATGAATACGTCGGTACGTTTTGTTTTCGATGTTTGGCGTATTTCCCTAAAATTAGAGGTGAGGCAATGACAAGCATTTCAACTCGTTGGTGAAATTTGGCAAGTGTTTAGGGAATTTTGTTATTACAGTTTTTTTGAAAAATAGAGCATCAGGTTAAGGTCGTTAGTAATGAGTAATAGCGGTCAACGAAAACATTTTGACAATGACTTCTTTTATTTGAAAAGTTCATTGTTTTAAAGTTTTAACCTACTATATCTAAGAGCTTTAATGGTAGGCATTCTATCTAAGAGTTACAATTAACAGGAAAATCTCATATATCCCATGAGTCCAGTGTCCGGGCAGGATAGTTTGTCAGATATTCCAACGCCGTGTGAAAGGAATCCCCAGAGAACCAGTAGCGCAACGATCGGGAATCGAACTTGGTAACCCAGGCGTTATTTGCGATACAAAGCCACTTAGCCAAAAGACTCTAAGCTCTTGCATAAAAAATAAAAAATAAATGTTGTCAAATGTTTATATATTTCTACTCCATATACTATTCAGCTTGTTGTTAATGATAACCAAGTTTATAAAAAAGGTAAAAGAATTCCTCTAAATGTGTCACTAATAAACATTCAAAATAAAAAAATATTTCATTGACGCGTTAAACGCGTTATGGCAGGACGCAAGACAACAACAGAAATTACGTCAAATAATTATTGAAAATTTTGCTTGAGAAACAGAGTGTATGAAACTCTACTGAAATTAAAAGTTTGGTAAACAATGAGCTTAATAATCTTATCCAGAGTCATCCAGAGAATGCTTCATTTCTCCTAATGGTTGCTTTATCTCGCTACTTAGCTATCTCCAGGTGATAGTGACAAATGGCTTAGCTTGACAGTTGACATGATTGGGCATAATTGTTAGGGCTATTAATTGTTGTCCAAAGTTTTCAATACTTATTTTAATTTTTTTGATCTTATTTGTTACAATACGAAAATGCTTATCCGCATAAACAAAATCACACATTGCACGTTATTTAAAAAAAAATATCGATTAAAACGTTAACGAATGTTATAAAAGCAATTCTTTAAAGTACATATTTATTAAAATATAATCCAGTAGGTATAAGTTGAATTTCAAATACTTACCGTTAGTCGATAGTTTCTTATAAGAGGAATAATATTCACAACGACCGAAATTATTAAAGTAACTCTAATTCTAAATAAACCAATTACTAAAAAAATATGTAGGCGAAGGTAAAAAGTGTAGAATTCCAGGTATGTAACCCTCACCTAGATAGAAAGTAGAAATATTTTTGCATAAGCTCTCTTAAACACAACTATTTTTATCCTACCTAAATTTAGATACCTAATATCTTTTTTCATTAATAATTCGGACAATTGACCATAAAGAAAAAAAGGAGAGCCGACGTAATCCAATAGGAATGCAACCAATGCAACAGATGATGCATTCATGCTTTTTATTTTATTTTGAAGACCTACTTAACCGTTGTTTCCGGGGATATGCCGGGCGAAATAACAAAAAACCTCGCTTAAATGTACTATTAAACAAATTTAACGAACATATATGTTATATTAAGTGATAATTCATTGAAAATACTTACGTTCTTGTAATTCACAGTAACATTAAATAATACGAATACACAACACACGTTCACTTTCGACACCACTGCACTGCGTGTGCGATCTGTCAAACGCAACGGGGTTACCACTTCACAGCACTAAATTTACTCATATTTTAAAAATAATCTCGTAATGCATATTATAATTATTCACGTAATTAAAACAGTGGGCACTTAGTCAATATGAATAATTATTTATATTGTATCAATAGTTTAACTGACGCGCCTTGGTGTTTTTGCTTCAGTCGTCAGATCGAGAGCTACTAGGTTCACGTTACCTACCTTTTATTATTATTAGCTGTAACTAAAAATAGAAGGCACAATATTTAAAAATGTTGGCACGATTCCGCTTGTGAGCTTCAGTAATCGGATTCGAGTTGCTATTAACTATATTCGTTTTATAATATACTAGGTAATATCTTAATAACTTACTTAGAAATTAGTAAATTTTGTTAAACTTTGAAAAAGCCTGTATAATTGAATTACTGATTTATTGTCGTGAGTGAACGAATTTAGTTATAATAAAGCATAAAATTTTAATAAGCCTTTAATTTGTAGGTACCGAAATAGAAGTAGTAATAGTATCCTTGAATTATAAAAGGTAAAAATAAAACAATGATAACAGTAAACATTTTATTGTAAATAATTTATTGTATCTTTTGCACTCACGATGGGTTTCAGGAGTGCTTCCTGCATTTAAGGGTCTTAAATTTCAAGCTACTTGTCTGGTACAAGCAGATTAGATTTAGATTTTACACCCATCGCAAGTAGATGTCACAAGCTTATTCTGTTATCAATTCAGTCGGCTCATAATGCACTTATACTAGACGTTATCCATTGAGCTCAGTACTCGAATGATGATGACAATGAGTTTGAAAACGCAAATTAAAATTAAAATAATCTGTTCCGATTATTCTGGATCAAGCCAATACTAAATTTTATGTAATCAAAAATTAATACATAATTTTAAGTAAATGTTAAACCTAAGAAAGTAATTTTCAAGATATAATTCATAAATAGATATGTAAGTATTATTTTAAGTATTATGAAAGTGTGAATGTTGCATGTGAAAAGTGAAATATTGAGAATCTTTTAGAAAAATAAGTGTAAAGTGTACCAATGTGAGGTAAGTGAGAGAGTAAATATATGTATAAAATATTACTGTGATTTGCTTTTGTTTCTGCGTATATCAAAAATACATTGGTCCTAAGTAAAATTAAACTGTGACAAGATATCTCACATCGGTTGATTTTGGTATGTTTTGTCATGAAAGACAGGCGTTAATTATGTATTCAACGTCAAGAGGCTGTGCCTCAAAACATAATGTTGACAAGTTCAATCAATCTTCAATCTTCTGTTGTTTTTTTTTGTTCAAGGTTGAACAAAACTTATATATTGTTAACGAAATATTGATTCGAGTATAATGAAATGACATGACACATCCATGATTAGCCATCTCAAATAAGATATTAAGGCGATTTAGCGTCTAATATTTATTTTTAAGACTAATTTTTATCTAAGATTCTTAAAATTTGTCGCTAGTCATTCAAAATTTGTAACTTTAATAGCGTAGAAGAATAATTTTTAACAAATTTCAATTAACTAGTTATTAGAATAAGTATTTTATTAAATGTCATGACGACTAAGTTTGATCCATTACAAAATAGATTTAATATATGAATAGAGAGACTTTAAACTATAATTTACGGCTACAGCAAAACATTTAAATATTCGAGTATTTCCAAAAGAAAAAATTGCCAAACTTTCTGAATTACTAAAATAGCAACACTTTAACTGTCCTAAATGTTTCTGTTTCTGTTGTCCTAACCCTAACGTTTTGGCGCCGTTTTTAAATTTAACTTTTGAAATTTCACGAATCATAAATTTTATATTAAAGAGTTACAAAGCTAGGAATAAAATAACTTTAAAAATTACTAGGTACGTTAGAAAAATATTGATTTTATAGAATTAATCATGTTATTGAAAACTGTTAATAATTTCTAATAAAAACACTTTTTGCTAAATCTATTAATGAGCAAGACTTTTTGGATTTATTGCCATAGATTATTAGTTCATGAAACGAAAGTTTTTTAAAAAGGTTAAATAGAAGAAAATAATTCAAATACAACAATCATTCGGGTCACCGACCCAATTTTGTCATTACTATGACAATATTGTAAATACATTTTATATGCCATGGATTACAAAGTAATAATATTTTGCACAAAGCGATATGTATTTTTATTGTTAGCACTGGTTAATATGTTTTAAATATTTAATGCTTCCACATCTAATATAATTATTGTGTTATCAAATACTACACTTATACATAATTATTATTTGCTTCAAATCAATCCTCTAACTGTACATAAAGCTTTTTATAAAATAAAGTCTACATTAATACTAAACTATAGGCTACGATCTTATCAATAAGTGACGCCATTTTGTTGATAGCTTAAAGGAAAATGGCGCGTATTTTGACATGATATTTTGGGCGCTCGCCCAATATTATACTAACACTACATTATGAATTATTTCTGGTTGTTAATCTAGCATTTTCTATCAAAACATTAGTCAGTGAAAGACCAATATTTTTTTTGGGAAATGTGTTATAGTGGAATGAGTGAATTTTGACATCACAGTGAACGTCGTGAGTAACGTATTGATTAAAAGTTATATTTTTTTAAAATAAATAACCAAATATAGAAAACAATGCACTAAAACCAAGATGAAGCACCTCCTAATTTAGTAGACAATTCGCCTATGCCTCTTCCAAACATGTTGCCAACCTAGAAATGAAACGTTTTAAAAATATAATCAATCTAAAATAAAAAGTAAGTAAATTATTACATTTCCCACGCTCGTATTTTAAATTATTACTGTTATAATATTGAAAGTTAACTTTAATGAAAACAGCGCCACCTTTTGTATATTGTATGCACCAGTATGGTATATTGTTTATGCTATAAGTTTATTCATAGATGTCACTTTAATATTATTTCAACAGAGTCAACAAGAGATGGCGCTGCAAACAGTTATAACCTAAGTCATAATAACACTTTATATTTTTTAATATCGTCACTTGAAAGAATTATGTAAGAAAATGAATAATTTCATAGAACTATGGAATATATCTAAAATATTTTAAATTACCTTCCCAACAACAGCAGAAACATTTCCAAGTTTTGCCTCCTCTGTGAGAGACTCAAGTTTTGACTTCCCAGCTTTAGTTCCCTCTTCTGCGCCCTCCTCGCTGCCGCTAGTAATTATATAGGTGTTAGACACAAGACAAGTAGCCAAGTAGTAGTAGACAATAATCTGATTGTAAAGATTCGATACAAGTTAATCAACTAATAGCTCAACATATATTTCCAACAGGGCAGGGCAACATAAAAGAGACTTCAGAGAAAAAAATGTTTTAATTTTCGACTAGTAAACACCTTTTCTTTTGATATATTAAAAAGCTCGATTTATTTTCATTTTATTTGGAAATTAATTTGAGGCCAAAGCCAAAGGATCCTTGTTATTGTTTTCATTTCCTATATTTATCGTAAAGGTATAGTAAATTTATTTAAGGCAATTGCGAAGATATTAAATGATCCTAGCAATTGCATATGTGTGGTACATAGCACAGCATATATGCCAGTCAGGTCTCACCCGGCGTCCTGCTGAGCAAGAAGTAAGCTGCAAGTGGCTTCTTCTGTATGCATCCTTTGGGCGACTGCTTGGTAGGTTTTTGTGTTGAGCTTGTCATCTATTACACCTTGCAGCTCGAAATCACTGTTCATTTTCTGTAACAACATTACAATTATTGGTTTTGATCCTATTTTTACTTTTGTGCACGTCATTCAATAAATTCCGAACAAAAAATAACCGACTCTCAATTGCAATGAAAAACATTATATTATTGATTGGCCGGTATGAACAGAGCAAAAAGTAAAGAGAGTTTATTTGTATAAAGTGGTATGAAGGTATATATGGGACTAGATTATACAGATCGGTCCACACGGTTATACATAAAAACTACGTCGAATTGATAACCTCTTCCGGTTTTTATGACGTCGGTTAGTAAGGAAAATAAATATGTATTACAACATGAAACATGGTCACGGGCTTAGAGAATTAAAGAATCATTATAATACATATATATCTGGCATTGAGAGTGTCCATTGGGACAGTATCGCTTAACATCAGATGAACCTCCCGCCTGGCTGCTAAGTTAATCTACTTATATATATGTATATATATATATATTATTATTGTAATTAATGTCCACGCTACAGCTGATAGTAAAGATGGAAAGTGAACATGTACACAAATAAATAAATGAAATTGCGAAACACGTGAATCGCTACTTAGCCTTTACGCAAATAGCTTATTCTGCACGTACACCGTATACTTATAAGTTATACGTTCTGTACGTATAAACACAAGCTCTGTACGTACACCAGGGGCCGCTTTAGTTATGCAAGCCTCGTCTCTAGCATTATCACACATAATTGCGTTACCTTAACGACAATAGAGAGACAGGCGACTTGTTGTGGATGAAGAGCTGGTCGCTCCTGCAACCAGTTTCCAATGAGAGTCATTTGCTGACCGTACCATTGTTCAAAGAGCTGAAGTATCCACAGCTCATCTGTCACCTGGAATCCATAAATAAATAAAGTTACTAACATAAAAATGTTTCAACATAAAATATATTTTTTTAATAAGTCAATAGGAGAACCAAGAATTAATATATTTTATAATAGTTTAGTATTATAAAATATATTAGAGCAACATTTCTGTATGTTAATGTATATATTTTATAATACTTTTTTGTATGATAATTACCTTAGATCGAATCTGGTCCATAGAATTTCTCATGAAAGTGACGTATCCCTGCCCGATGTCCTTACCAGAGCCTGACACGTTCGCAATCGTCAGAATTGACCCGATCAAACTGAAATATATAAACATTAATAACATGTCTAAAAATAATATCATTTTATTACACTAGGCGCGAAGGCGTTGCAACAACATTTCTTCGGATACTGAGAACGCTACGTCGAAATAGCAAACGAAATTGAAGAGTACCGCGTGGGTCTAAAACTTTATTTAGGTTTAAAGAAGTTTATTCTCATTGCCACTAACATGAGAAAAAAAAGTGCGTGCGTACAAAGTACACATGTCTGAAGTGAAACTTCTTTGGCAAACTAAATTTTAACTCTTGTTCATATTTATTCAAATCTAAAACTTTATATTTCCTTGACTAAGAGGGAGGGAAAAAGTAAGATAATATGTTAGGAATTTAATGAATTAAGTGTCGAAAATTGATACAAAAAATAAATTTTATTTCAATAAACTTATGTCTTTGATAATAAAATCATGGAATTTTAATTTACAATTCGTCATTTGAGATTTCAATAAATTATTTTGAATAAAATATAAAATACTTATTTTCATAAATTCTCTACGAAATTTTAATTTTGAAAATAGAATTTCTATAAGGTAATTCACCCTTCTCACTCTCTCTCAATCGGTCTCAATCGCTCTCTCCCTTTTCTTCGACAAAAATGCTGCACATCTACGTCGAAGATCGTCTTGTGCAGTAAACGCAGATTTTTTATTTATTTATATTATCATTAGCACGTCTACAGTGTGTAAACAGTGTGAATATAGATATACAAATACATAGAGTGATCATCCATTGGGGATTTTACCTTAGTAATAATTAATTTACAAAGAAGTTTCACTTCTGACATGTGTACTTTGTACGCACGCACTTTTTTTTAACTAAACGCATGTTGTGTAACTTAAAACATACCTTCCTTCATCAAACCGCGCGATCTTCGCGAGCGTAGCCTCCAACACGGCGGACAGACGAGTCGTCATTCCCGTAGCCATTGCGTGGAGGCAGGTCTCGATCTGAGCATCCATTTTAGCATGGTACTGGTACTGTGAGAGAGGTTGGTGTTAACATTTTAACCTGCGCGACCCCGTGTGGAGTGTCAGATGCATGTATGTCTCTAGCGTTACTGTGGAGTAAGCACGTCGGCTTGGCGATTGGAGGCACCATAAAGATCTTACCATTTTACTTTGCACTTTATAGGTTGATAGTCTTGCTAATTAGATTAAATGTTTAAATAGCCGTTAAATCAATAGTATTGTTTTCATGTTCATGATAAAAGTTTGAGAACAAGCTATTAGAATTAAATTGATACCGTCACAGACTAACCTTGTCAATTGACGTCAGGTCAATATGGACTGTTAAGAAACAAAAAAGAAGAAACAAATATCCAATGGCAACAATTTTGATTACTTCATCGCGTTTCAGGGATTGAATTATTAATAATAGTAATGAATTGTAGCAAAGAGCACTATGTCAACCGCAGCCTCCGTGCAGGGTTTCAAGCTGTATCTAGCGTTAGTAGCATAGCATGTGTGTGAAGCCAATTTGATGTAATCAATTTTGACCCCCCAGTGAATTATTGTACCCATGTAAAATGTTAACAACCAACTCGATGGATGATGTAAATGGAACATGGTTAAAATATTACAGTTTAGGTTTCTTTGGCACGGAGATTGGCAAACGCCGCCATTTTGAAACATCCGCCATCTTATGTTTAATGACCACAGACTCATTCTACGTAGAGTTTATTCTTTGGCGAAGGCTGATGTGGTTTAGTACCAAAAAAACCTTGTACTGTCAACGATATTACAAAAATGTTATTAAGCCTAGCTTAGCGTTGCTACATTCTATTGTTTAATATTATTGGATTGAAAATTTTCGTTACGTCGAAAATAAAATACTGTTTAACTGAAACTGCAAAACCCCTCTCCCATTCTTATTGATCAGCGTACTATAATCCTCAATTAGTTATTATGTAAATTAACAGTATTTTATTTAAATTGATCTACCAATTTAGTAATAATGATCGCAACAACTCAGTGGATTACTCAAGTTATCGAACGCAAATTAAAAATGTTATAGTATCAAATGCCGTTTTTCATTGGAAATTTATTGGACGTACCCTACGTACCTACTTGGGTACGTTCAATAAATGTATGGTATGGGGGCATACACATCCTTCCTCAATCTTACATTCCCTAACTACCAATTGAAAAATATTTTCTAGAAACTTTCACTCATAAATATTAGGTATTTATTAAAATTCTTTCCCTTATTTTTCTCTTTTTGTAACGGCGTAATCACAATTTGACAGAAAGAGACGAAAGAGTATGTAAGTTTAAAAAGATAACACTGATTTAGTGTTAATTATTAAAGGGGATGTAGACATTTTGATTTTAAGCGCATGAGACCCGGAGTAATCCATTTATTCTCTACGAATTAACTTAAGACTATGATTACAAGCGGTAATATAAAGAGTACCTTTATTGTCGCCGTTCCTATATTTAATTTACAGATAACGGGGCGTAAATTCATGTTAAAATCATTAATGAAGTATACATGAAGTATGTAATATAGTATTATAAACTAAGCCTATACACCATCCAGCCATGGTTGTACGACATAGGAGATAACGTTAATGTATGTTTCACTACGCGCCGTTATCTGTTAGTTAAATATAGGAATGGCCGTATACGTACAATATCCACGCCTTCGACAGCGCATAGCTTCAACGCTTGGTTTTTCGCGTCCAGTGCCACATTTACCATAGCACAGATCTCAGCTGGTATTATGTAGTCCGTTGACATGAATGTCACACTTTTTTTCAGCCACGCCTGAAAATTTGATCAGACCAGTTACTAAAGACGTAATAATGTAATAAAGAATAAATAAATAAGGTCTTTTTGATTTTGATTGGACAGCATGCAACACAACGTTTTAATGACACACTGTCTCTTTCCATGACAGCATAAACTATTTCAACATTTTCTGAAAAGATGCCCAAAAATGATGGAAGTTGTGTTTAGTCAAATATATTTTTTTATTATAAAAGCCTTAATCAATTAGTCGGCCTGTCAAAAAAGCCTGATCATTTATGTGAAAGGAGACTAATACAAATGTTTTCATTTTACTATTAGAAATGTTAACCTGGAATGACGCCTCCGTCTTCTGTATGCAGGTCTCCATCATGTCGCTTGCCATCAACTTCAGGCGTTGTTCCAGGTGGGACCGGAACTCTGGTTCTGGCCAGTGCAGGTCTCTGATGAAGCTTTGCAGAGCATCCAGCTTCCAGAATAATTCTTCACTGGTAGCACAACCGTTGCTGTAATAGAAAATCAATAATGGGTCTCTTGTGCACGTTACGTCATTAAAATGAAAAAATAAAAGCGGATATGATCCAAGTAAGTAAGGGAACAAACGTGTCCATACTAAGACGGCTACAGGATATGTATGGAGTTTTTTCTGGACATGTAACACGGAGAGATCCAGATAGTTTAGAAAAACTCTTCGTGACTGGAAAAGTGAAGGGCACCAGACCCGACGCCGATCCCCTAATCGTTGGACCGATCAAGTAAGGCCCTTACAGGTCTTACCATCACCCAGTCGCAGAGGCTTGCCGAAGACAGAGGAGGATGGAGGATGTTGTACGTTGTGTAGGCGAATGCGACTGAAGAAAAAGATCCTACTGATTTGAAGGATACAAAACCGTATTTTGTGTCTTTTTAAGTACATTACTTCACCTAGTACGGAGTACAATTAAACATGGCATACATGTCAAAGCCGTATTTGTGACAATTGACAACCCATACCATTAGGAAAAGTATGTATAAATACTTAAGTCTTCTAGAAAAAATTGAGCATAAATAAAAATTGTTACCCTTTAATCTCCCATCGTTCCTTTTCAAAACCCTTATGCAGGGATTGCGATATTGAAGACTCCATAAGATCAACGTATCGAACGACCAATGGTGCGAAGGTGTCACGCAAATGTTCGTGAAAACGGCCGTTTCTTAGAGTTTCTGAAAAATTAAGTATGTTTTAATATTACTCCAATAAAAGGCAACAAGCATCTACAGAAGCATAAAAGATGACATATGCAAGCTGAAAATAATCTAGCAGTGGATTTTAAGTAATAAAAACAAGAACTTTGGGGAGACGATTTGTTTATGAACAGTTAATTCGCGTCCCTTTGTGATATAAGTTATAAAAGGGAAAAATATATGTTTTTGGATTGTTTGTTTTATAGAAAATACTAGTTACTTATTTCTTCATCATTGTTCAAATAAATATAAGTTAGTATTTGTTTTTTTGCTATTGCTATTAAATTTGGTTGAGAGCAAGTGTCTGAGATCAATACTGAATTAGCCTCAAAAACAGCTGTACCAAAATTAAAAAAAAAACTAATTCACACAAAATTCTAAGACTAAGCATTCTTTTTTTTCTCATTCTTGGTTATTTAAATCTATTATACAGAAACACTGAAAACTTGTGATTTATTTTTTAATCCAATCAATTAGATGTGTATGATATAGTTGAAGAAAAGGGATAATAAAACGAATGTTAGAGTTATTTGCAAACTATTTCTACTTTCTACTGAGTTTTATTAAATAATTTAACACCTTTGTACTTCGTTATTAATTCGTGTTAAATTATTTATTCTAAGTGGCATAACAAAAGTTCGCGTAAAGGTTAGCTGAGACACAAACAATCACATAGTTTACATTCAAAATCGAGATTTAGCGCTAAGTTTGACATCACGTCAAAAAAGTATTGGATTTTGACATATGGGTGTCAGTTCCAGCTAAGCCTCGTTTCTGAATCACACTCTTAGAGCCCAAAGGCATATTAGAACGATTACTGAATGATTAAATTCCAATTGAATGTTTGCATTTTGTATAATTTGTGTTGCCTTAGTTGGGTCCCTGCTCTTTTCACTTAGGCCTTTACCTGCTACTCCACTGACTACAGTTCTAATCTACGTAAAACCTTAAAACCAGCTTGCCTTTCATCTTACCATCGGAGCGCAAATAATCATTAAGGATTTGGAACAATGGGAATGAGTCCCAGGTGTCAGGGGGTTGTTCAGCTAAAACCCTGTCCATGTCAACAGCGAATAACGCCCAGAAGATTTCAGCGTGGTCTGTCAGAAGATCTGAGAACCATGCGAATGCCTGCGCACAAAAGAGTGTATAAGTTTACACTAGAATCGAGTTTATACTAGAACCAAGTAAACACTAGAATCCAGTTTACACTAGAACCCAGTTTACACTGCAATCAAATTTACATTAAAGCCAAGTTTACTCTAGAACCCAGTTTACACTAGAACTGACTACACTTTGAGCCGCATTAAAACGTGGCGAAATATTTGTCACTATGGTTACAATTTTATTTAAAATGGTAACCATGACAACAATTCCCGCTTAACCTTAAGTCGCGTTTTACAAGAAGTCAGTTCAATTTAAACTTACGTGTAGCTTTGTAAAATAAATTAAATACTAAAAATTAAATGCAATTAATGTCAATTAATTTATCACATACGAATTACTTTTAACAATACTCATGTTTCATAATATTAAGATTTTTCCAATTCTTCCGGTGGGTATTAAAGAAATTGGCCAGTGTAATTGTATTTAACTGTTTCTCAACTTCTTAAATTTATAATTTGAAAGAAAATCATGCAACTAACTACTTTATATTATAAACTATGGATATATAGGTATTATATTAAAAGCAAGCGCTGAGATATACTGACACATCTTTAATTCTAGAATTAAATATTTTATTTGACATATATATTATGTTACATATACATTCTATAGATATAGTACACAAAACAGGTATATAGGAAGACAGCAAAATAAAGCAAACTTTAAAGATAGTATTTGTCTATTTTTTTTTAGATTTAATTAACCTTATAGCAAACAACTTATTTCTAAGCTGTTACAAGAACAAATCGAATGGTTGTATCGTAGTATAACTCCTAGCGATTTAAAGAAACGAAGCTATTGCGTTTAAGGTAAGAATTGAAAATAGAAAGAGCAAGCATCATAAGAGTGGAAAAAACTTGCAAATTTCACTTCGACCTGTGAAATTTGTCGCATCTGCAGATACCCTAATTTATGAAATAAACTAAACTATTAAAGCAAGTGGTTTGATATCACAAATCTAATCGTGATCATTTGTCTGTGGTCAAACCATAGTGAGAATGAACCTTCATAGACAAGTACCTTTTGTGCTGAGCGCAAGAACTATTGTAACAGTAAGAAATTTCTATGTGAAATTTGCGATGATAGCATTAACGTTCCAAATTTAAAACCTATAAAAGATAAACTGTATGATAAACAGTTTGTAAAATCACGTGATTATCTTATAATTTAAATTGATGTAGATGCTAAATGTGATCTCCGAGCACAGCTTATATGTTTTGCCACGTTTATTTATATTCAATGTGACATTAGAGAAAGGACTAACTATTTGAAGTTACATGTATTGTCTATTCCTTTTCTAGTGTATAACATGAGTCACAGTGGTTGTTCGCGTCTCACGCCAGTAAAAGGCACTTGGCTAGTACGTGAATTATTAGTGATGAGCGAGCAAAGTAGTTACATTTTGTTGACCAGTCGATTCCGATTTTGCGTTATAAACCTGCGGAGAAACAAAAAAATAAGATAGAAGTGGAGTCAAAGGTCGCAAAATGCTTACGTGTCGATAAGTGAATTTGTTTAGTATTTATTTTACGATCGATCGTTACGATTTCTTCGCTTTTTTTGCCAGAAATCCTGTCTATGTTTTATATTACATTAGATTAGAATGCCTTGCATTATCTATATACATTCTTATTTAAAAATGAATTGCTAAGACTTTATAATCAAGTCTCTCCATAATAATAAGCCATTCTGGTTTTTCCAATAAAAACAGTTCCTAGCTGGGAAATGTTTGATCTTTTGTCTTTTTATAACTAAAAAGTGGTCACTTAGTTGTCATATATATATATTTATTTATTTATTTACACTTTGTTGCTTTATGATATAAAAATTTAACAAAATTATAAGTAAAGGAAAGGCAACTGGCGGCCTTATCGCTTTCGAGCGATCTCTTCCAGGCAACCACTGTGAGAAAAGAAATATATAAAAGAAATACATGTAAAGATGCCGTCAAAAACTTGTGTTTAAAGCTATTAAAAACAAGTTTTGAAGGCATAATATGAGGTCCGATCTCTTTGGTCTGTTTTAAAAAAATTGCATTAAATTTTGGCACAAATGTGTAGGTACGTAGTTCACCGGATCATTTAGTTTGAGAATAAATATAAAATTTAAATATGTTAATTCAAACTGTGTAAGCTAAACAAATTCACGTTAACGACAAAGCGACACATAACAGACATTTAAAACATTGATACTATGATTATTGTATTACGTCACAAAATATTTCAAATTTATTTGAATTACATTCGTGAAACATAGTACAATAGAAAAGTTTTTCTATAACAATAAAGACAACGGACTTATGTCTGGCTGAAAATATTATATGTATGTCCAACAAAACATGTTTAGCCAAGACATTCTTCTATAGTGCTTTTACGAATAAGCTTTCACGTACACCATATTATATGATATTTTACCTGCAGGTGCTACGAAATTTAAAACGTAGTTTTCGGTCTACGCGAGGCGTAGCACTCGCCCGACACGAGACGGGGTGAGAAAGTAAAACGAAAGAAAACGGCGACTCGTATCGTTTATTTGTGATTCGTTAATCGAACGGATGGTATCGCGTGTCTGTGTAACTAGTTAATTGGTTGTGTCGTGGTAACGTCTTTGGTTTTACAATCTCACCCGCCTAGATTGACCAGTTATTACCAATTGAAGCTTAGATAAAGAATATTAATGTATTTAATTCTCAATAGATTATGATTAATTTAAAGTGAAACCAAATTCTTCAAGAATTGTTTTAAATTTGAAAAGGCATTTCCTTGAGATGTTTTATCGGTAAATTGTATCGGTTTTTATTATCACTGATAACTATACCTCTGCATAGTGTTCTTCATTCTGCTGCAAAAGATCTACGCAGAGCTCAGCCAAACGGATCAGGTCCTCCAGCTTCTTCGCTGGAGTCACCATCGTGTCACCACGTAGATCCTCTGAAATTCAATCAAATCGCTATTTTGACGACCTCATTCGAGTCTACTGTTATCTTTATTTGGTTTATTTAGTTATTAACAAGTATATTGATTCCATGGTAAACAATAATCTTTTGATTTATAATTTTCACGTTTTTGCTAAAAACATATATGATTACACGACGTCAAACATACATTATACAGTAGTGAATTAATGTGTATATAAACTGTAGCACAAGGAATTTAAGATGATTTATTAGGGATTTGAAAAGTGTATGGTTATTTTAGTTACGATTATATGATTTATAGTTCACTGTGCTTTGTAGGATATCGCCTTTGTCGCTTGCGCATGCGTTTAAGGGTTACCAGATTCGTCTTACCATGTTAATGGCGTCTTCTACTGAGTTTGCTGTCAGGGTACCATCAGACTGTACAAACCTTCAATATTAGCTTTCTGACTGAGTTGTTGGTAGTTCAAAAGTGCTGCGTTCTCCAAACAATTTTGGATCAGGATCCTAACATCCTCTGGTGCAACTGGTGTTACCACGTCCTTCATTAACACTCGCTCTAATAGCGACAGCGTTGCCTAAAAATTGCAATTATTAGTATGGATTCAGTAAAATTGAGATTATCTTTAAAGTATACTCAATAGTAGTGGTTAGAATATACAAAGAACACTCAATAAAAAAAAAGATTCTGCATTTAAAAAAAAAGATGTAATTAGTAGGTTTCCGTTTATTTTATTTGAGTTGGGTACCTACGATTGATATAATATCAATGTTAAACACTTTGAAAAAACATTGTGATCATCTGAGAAAAAAAACATTATCTAGAGTCCCTTGGGTAGGTACTTCAGGGGGCAGGATTCTTCAGAGATTCATAATTGAATATATTATCTTCAAAGATAGAATATATTTTTTTATCTGTTAGCTGGTTAATTTTTTGAATGTGTGAAAGGCTGTTATTGAAGCTTACAATAGCCATAGACTCAGAACGCAGATAGTGAAATTTTATCTCTTTACTGAATACCACAAGTCCTAAAACGTTAACTTACTTTCAAAGCCCCCTCTGGCCTTCCAAAGGGAAATGCGTATCGAAAGTTGGTGACCTGATGTTGCAAAAGCGATTTCAGCCGCTCCTTGATCTCAGCGAATTTCTCCTTCTCCTGTACGGTGATGCTGCCCACACCATCGGGCCTGCCAGGCAACGTGGCGGTACTGTGAAAGGTTGGTTGGACTCACTCTAGTAAGGCACAAGCGGGAAGGGTCTCGGAAACTGCAGTATTTTAAATGACAAATTTTTGATGAAATATCGGATCGGTCATAACTTCACGCGTAAAGTTTCATGGGTAACCTTTGGAAGAGAGCTTTAAGGGTATACAATAACCAGTTACTTTGAGATTACAATTTGCAAAGACAAAAACTGACGTTGAGTAATACTTAGTATAATGATCCAAACCTGAAGTTAGATTCAGAAACGAAACTTAGACGACACATCGATTTTGACATGCATAAGTTATGTCAAAATCAACTCTCGTTTCTGAAACTTACTCCGAGTGTCTGTCTAGATAAAATGTAATGTTTTCTAAGTAAGATTCAAGTATCGTCTTGTTGAATACTGCAATTTTCGTAAAACAGGCAGTTAAGTGTGCATAGGATATTAACACACAAGCAGACAGAATAGATTATGTGCAATATTAACTTTACATGTAACAAAAAACCTGCAAAACCTTTCAATAGGAATAAAAATAGAGAGAAATTGAAATCAGTTGATTATGAATGTGGGCAGGCCACATAGCGCTCATGGATAAGACCTGATAGACCCTCAGGCTCCTTGAATGGAGACCTCGGCAGAACAAAAGACTGCGCGGCCGCCCACCTACTTGGTGAACTGACGACATCGTCAAGGAGGTTGGTTTCCAGTGGATACAGAGAGGCCAGTGCAGGGCGTACTGGAGGAAAATGGTGAAGGCCTACGTCCAGAAATGCACCCAATAAAGATGCTGATGATGAGGTAAATACGTTTTACTATAGTGTATGTTTCTGTATATACAGTGTACAGGATTCTTCATACAAATTGATTTAGTTGCATTAAAAGGGAAATATTTACAAATTAGATTATTTACAAATTAGATTATTTACATAGATTTTATATATAAGAGATTTAGTGGAGTGTCCATATTAGTATTTTACATGCTTACCATTTATATTATAATAACGTTCTAAATTTTAATATGTTACTTTTGTAACTACTACAAATTTAATTTTACCGGAAGTACCAAATTATTGACCAACTTACCACCAAGTTTCATCATTTAAATTTTAAACGCTTTTCACTAACAATGTTACTGCTGGTAACAATTGAATTATTATTATTATTAAAGACCAGAAATTTGATGTTATTTTCAGTGCAAGACACTAAACGTAACTGGCGTAACTATACCATCTGAGGCCCGTGGCAAATTTTTTTGAGTTTTAATAAGCTTCGCGATTTTCAGCGTATTCAATTACACGTAGTATATGTCCCACTAATGGCAACAGACCTCCTCTCTTAGGCGACAGAGAATAATCTGTAGTCCCCACGCTAGCCCAATGCGTCATGAAGACTTCACATTCATCCATAGAACATAATATCTCTTGGGCAGAGGCTCTCTTGGGTCGGGGGCCCGTGGAATTTTGCAATGCCACCCTATTGTTACGCCACTGATAGATTGATTTGCAAATAGCATTTATTAACTTAATAGTTACCTGTTTCCGTGGACATGGCTCGCGCAAAATGCGAAAGAGTAATGCATCAAAGTGGGGTCTACCATCTGTGTGGCGCTTTCGGCAACGTCAAGTAAGTCTGATAAATAATTAAGATGTCTGTAACAGCCTCTGACGCCGTATCGTGCACAATACTCATCCAGAACGAAGACTTGGCCGGGAGAAAACCAACCCTAAAAAAATACTTTGATATAAAATTTTGTCCATAACTGTTTATAAAGGTGTGTTTCAACCAAGGTTTGTTTATTCATAATATATTGAATTAAACAAAAAATGGTATCGCTACAACCTTTTAGGTTTGGGCCTCTAATTTATCTGGTTCGTGATAGATTTTTTTTTCAAATCGGCAAGTTGTTTATCAGCCTTCTGTGCGGTTTTAAATGCTAAATTGTTAAGCAAGAGACATCTTTTTATGTCTTCGCTATTCGTTGGGAAATTTAGTAAGTGTATAGGCAAAAATATTATAAAATATATGTACTAAAATTTAGCGAGGCAGGCTCGGTTAATTGTCAAATTAAAATCATCCAGATATCATTAACGCCAAAAAAGAAAAACATATTAAATGCTTCTAATTTTACATTTACTGCCAATTCTCAAATCAAGGGCGTAGAACGGAAGAGAAGAATTGGCAACTAACTTTTCGCCACTCTTTTTAATCGCCAAGTTTTTTGTGATACACAATGTTTGTAAGGAGCTGCAACTATTACACCATGTTCCACATGGCATCTTAAGAAATAATTAATTACTAATAATAAAATAAATTAAAAACAAAGATTTGTCCTCTATCAGCAGGAGGCATGAAATAGGAGCACGCATTTACATTCTCGTGGGAACAACACGCAAACGAATGAAGCCTCTTGTCCGTTTACCTATAGAATAGGTCTATGAAAATTGGTAATATATAAGCACTAACCAAAGAACAGTAAGGGTCTTGTAACCGATATTTCAATGATAGCGACTGCAACATCGAGAACATTTGCTGATGGTCAAATTGACATGGATCAGCTTGGATATAATCTTCCATTCCGTGTTTTCTCGCTTTGTCCGCATCTGAAATTAGTACATATCTTTGCTTTACTCTATTTGTTGACCACGATTGCAGTAGAAAATCTATATTAGCATTTATCATCGATATTTTAATAAAAGTTTTAAAATATTTATATTCAGTGTTCATTTTGTAGCAGGATTGCTGGGATTCGAAAACGTCAAGAGAAGGTAATGTCAATTGTGCCATCAATGTGCCACCAATGCTGGTGTTCTGTTGGTGATCTGTCTATTAAGAAATAACACCTAATCATTGTTGAGAAAACTGTGAGCTTAGGGTTTTGTGAGCGCAAGCCAACTCAGCCGATCTGCAGGAGGACACTCAGGTGATTGAAGAATCTTTTACTAGTGTCGTGAAACAACGCGGCGTGCGTTCCATTGGAACAAGTCATATAATATAACTCGTCATTAAACACTCATTAACTGACCCGTAGTTCTTGCGCGGTATCAGCGGTATTAACATACCTCCCATAATTTTGATATGCGTGTCAGATGTTGTGGGAGGTGTCGGTTTGTGACTCTGTCCCGTCGCTCGGTACAGGGCCATCACCCAGAGGTGACACTCATTCTCATCGCTGACTCCCATCAACACCGATTCTCCATCTCTGACTGCGTTCATGAAGTATTTAGCACCTTCCAGCTCTGAAAAAATAACATAATTTATATAGTCAATCTAATCAAATAACATCGTGAAACATGCGGCTTTTTTAACCGCTGTCCAGGAAATATAATAAAATTATCTATGTAAAAATTAAGATGAAGAAGCAAGGCATGTTACCTTAATTATTATATTAAAAAAAAAACAATGGCGCTACAACCTTTGGGGCCATCCATAAAGTACGTCACACGAATTTTAGGACTTTTGAACCCCTCACCCCGTCCTTGTCACAGGTTGTCACATTTTTATAAACACCCCCCTCCTGATGTGACGTTTCACATTTTTTAAATTTATGTATGTATTTAAAAATAATCGAGAGAAAACAGCTATTTTCATTTTTTACTTATTTTTATTAAATAATAATCTAATAAAATCAACATAAAGTCCAACATTTTATAAAACCGAAAAAACAAACGACTAGTTAGAAAATAATAAAAGTCAATCGTGAAATAAACAAAAGGAATGTATTGAAGTCACTGCGCCGGCGCGTGAGGCAGCACTTGTCGAAGGTCTCGCAAACAACCGACGTGCGGAACGATAGAAAAGCGAGCGAGCACTCGCCGACGACTTAAACCTATTTAAATTCTTACCATTCAAAATTATCGTGAATTTGAGTGTCTCACTTGCATTACAACGCCGCTCTAGAAGTTAAATGACGTTGCATGAGAGATTATCGCATAGCGAGAATGCTAAATTATTAATAAATATAGATCAAGTTCGTAAATTTTTAAAATTTTTAATTCACATCCAAACACAAGTGACGTCACAAAAGTATTGACCCCCCCATGCCCCTTGTCACACGATGTCACACTTCGGTGATACCCTCCCTCCCCATTAACGTGTGACGTACTTTATGGATGGCCCAATTTTAGGTCTGGGCCTCAGATTTCTGTATCTGTTTCATGATCATTTGGTAATCTAATAGGCAAGTAGGTGATCAGCTTTCTGTGTCTGACGCACGCCGTTGACTTTTTGGGTCTTAGGCAAGCCGGTTTCCTCACTGTTAAATGCGCACATGGAAAGAAAATCTATTGGTGCACAGCCGGGGATTAAACCTACGAGCTCAGGGATGAGAGTCGCACGATGAAGCCACTATGCCAACACTGCTCAATGCTGTACATATTTATTATATTACATATATATACATCATAGTCGGTATTTCGTGTGAATTTTTTTGAAACTCACCTTGACCCACCATCAATTGAGCTGAAAAAAGAAACAAGTATTAGACAGCTAGTCCCAGTTTTTTTTATTAGAATAATAATAACTTATTCGCCAGAATATGGTACAAAAATGTTATAATGGTAGGTATCTAAAGTTCGCATATTCTGTCACGCAGAATGGCTTGCAAATTTGTCTTAAAAGGAATTTTACATAGAAGTTATGAGTCTTATCAATTAGACAATTTTTATATGAATCACATAGTCATGCAACATATGTATAATTTGTATTTACAATTTTCTTCACCTACAAAGTATTAATAAAAAGAAAATTAAAACAAATTTAAAAAGTTTGGTCCCTTTTTCAGTGTACCTTTAAAACTAGCAGCGTTTCCTCGCTGTATTGCGATATTATTAGTTTTTGAAGTTATACTTCTTTTGGCGCTTTAGGGAAAAATGACGTGAGTAAATTTTTTACGATGCGCGCGCACTCCGTCACAAAAAACCGACTCCCTTATGTTAGCTCTAGTCGACATTTTAGTTTTTTCTATTGTTAGTGTCGTTTTTTCTATAAACGTAGAATAAGTTTTTTGTAAAGATTTCTATCTTGTTAGGCCAAAGAAGTATAACTTCTAACGCGTGTACATAAATACGTGATACACTATTTTCGGAACTTTGCCTAAAGGGACTCCTTTTAATAATATATTTTAGTTATTATATTTTAAGGTTAATTATTGTTTTTAGTAGAGAATTGTTATTAATGTTTTTATTACGTATGTAACTAACCAATTGTTGTATGGATAATTAATAAAGCTTTAGTAATATTTAGGTCGATTTGATATTTTACTTTCTATTGGCTTTTAAAGTTCTTGATATTCTTTTGTTCTCGGTATAAAGAGGACAACTTACCACTCGCCAACTCAATATAGTCCACAGTGAATCCATCAAGCTGCATCATTTCAGCTGGTTCAGACTTCTTGTCCTTATAGGAGCAGAGGGCAAACGTATATTGGCTGACTTGCACTAACACCATGTATCGCCGTTTCCACTTCCGCCATACAGCTTTGCCAATTACGTGGAGGTAACTAAAATTATAATACGTTCCAGTTAAGGCGTCAATTATTCAAATTAAGGAAGCCCATTTAAATTAATGTTTAAGATGAGTCGAAACTGGATTCCTCTTTACTTATCATACATTTGAGTAGTTTAAATATATCAATGCAATTCGATTGTTATGGGTTATTCGAAAATTTATTGAAATTATTTGGAATTTTAATTTCAGTTTTTAGTCATATGTTTTGAAAATTTACTTACTTACTGTGTTTCGTTACCAAATTCCTAGTAATATTTTCCTAATTTCTATCATTTAGGTTTTTTAAGTGCACAATTTAAGTATTTATATTAAAAATTATAAATGTTGAATAGGAGGGGACAATAATTTTAGAAAGGCTAAGGAGCCCCACCTTGGCATTGGTTGACACTGCTACAAAGCAACAAAATATTGAAAATTGTAAGCAAAATAAATTCAATTAAGTTCTAACGTTTTTAATCCCTAATTTAAATGTAATACAAGCGATAACTAAACAATTATAATAAAGAAAGAACAACCTTTATTATGTATAATAAAAAGGACACACTAGGATTCCCTGTGTCGTGGGCAGCCAGGTTTTTCAATTTGACATATTAAAGGTACTTGACAATTATTTCTACATAACATAATATACAATTTTATAATTAGGCTATGTTTACATGTAACGCGCGTTAACGCGCGTCAACGCGCGATCAAATTTGAAGAGAGTTCAGATGATGAGCGCTAATGCGCGTTGCGAGAGTACTCGTCAGTCTAGTTCGGTAGAACGTAGAAAATGGAAAGAAAAATATAGAAAAAGAAAACGTACACATTGGGTTCATCCAATTTTGAAAAATAGACCCAGTTTGTTATATATATAATTAGGAAAATTAACAAAATTACATGCGATCGCGTTGAAAGCGCACGCTCAACTGAACAGCATACGGACATTACATTAATATCAAAGCGCGCGTCAACGCGAGATCACCTGCGTCTAGAGACTTTTTCTCTGAGCGCCGCGTTGACGCGCGTTAACGCGCGCTCATGTGAACAGTTGTATGAAAATACCACAATGTCTAGTCGCGCGATTTGAAAACGCGCGTCAAGTTTTTGCCATCTGAACATAGCCTTAAACTACTGTTGCACAATAAGAATACTTTCCGTTTCAGCATAGAATAGGTTGAGAAGATGGTGTTTAAGATTGTTATTGTAGAAAGTTTTGAATATATGAAATTGATACACTAATTTGTACTAATGATCTTCACGTTATATTTTTAAAATTAAGGCCAGTTACTAATATATACAATATATTAACAATAGTATTTATACCCGCAATGCTTCATGTTCAATGGTTTATCCATTCTGCACGCGATTTTAATCCTGAGATCTTGATCTGGTAAATTTTTGGGTACAGTCATTCGATGCCATTCTGGTGCCTGTAAATAAACAAAATATTTTCGCAAAATACCTACACAACTTCAATTTCATATTCTAATTTTTTTTAATATTTTTAATATCTTTGGATCTAGACATAAACTAACTTTGCTAGACAGAGGCGTAGGTCTGAGTAAAACTTTCCCAAGCTCCTTGTCTTCAAGTGCTAGTACACCAGGGTTCTCTGTATACAGCTTAACTTTCACAGCTGGAAGTGGCTGAGTCGTGCTGAAGTCACCTTGTGTGTCCCACCTGTTGATATGGGATGATATCAAACGCTACATTTATAATATTTAAAAAAATATCACTTCACACTGTATATTGAACGTTCTTACCTTGGGACATAATATATTTTTATTTTTAGGTTCTATGATAGTGCCCCACCTATGGTGGTACGGCGGACCGTTGAATATCAGTTTTTTGGTGAAATACAAAGTATTCTTCACGAATGGCTTAGAATAACTGGCTATTAGAAGATCTTCGTGACGATCACATCGTCACAAACATAATATTATATGTTCATGCACAAGATTATACATTATACACTATTTTGTAATAATGTATATAGCACATCTGTTTACTAATAATAATAATAAAACTTTATTCATGATATAAATATGGTTGTGAATTGATCTAACACTAGTCCCCACACTGGGGAGTCAGTGTGTTGTGGGTAACTAGATTACAATTATTCCGTGGTATTTTAAAACATTTTTTGTAATAATTAAAAGTCGTATAGGTATAAAGTATGCGTAAATGTATGAGTATGTGAATGGATGTGTGTTTCACACTCCGTCTTTGAGACTGAGAGTTGTCATAAGCGTGCGCTGTTTGTTTAGTATTAGGAACATCAGAGTCTTAAATTAAGGGTGTTTTGAGATCAATTTGTGAATAGCTATGGAGGTTGTATGTATGTATGTATGTTGAATGTGACTTACATTGGCTTCGAAGCCTCCGCCTGATCAGTCTGTAGTTTATCCCCACCTTCCACTTCCATGGTACAGTATACTATTCTATTCTGCGCCAAAGACTTTAGCCCCTTCACTTCCATAACAACTACCTATAAGATCCCATCATTAACAACAATTATTAAATGTTATTTTAAAACATACGAAGCACTTTAATATACTAGATACGAGATGCATCTTAATACGATTCCAAGTAGTAGATATAATACTCAAAAGCACTAATCTAAGCGTACGACCAACCAGGCTCCAGAAGATGAACCACTCCTTATATGGAAATTGTATTCTTTTTACAACAAGCGAAATTTGAGAATTATCACTGAATATATTCAAAACTCTCGTTAAACGTAAATTAATCAATAAATCTTTTTATAAATTTGACGATTATTTTAATGATCCTAATCTATGGGATTGATTTGCTCCACTTCAAACAATTTGAATGACTTAAAACTTGGCGATTAAAAATAGTGGCGGAGAAATTTAGAATCAATTTAACATATTTTCTGTTGACGTTCAAAGTGTACTCGTTTACCTATATGAATAAAGTTATTTTAAGTTTGAGTTTGAGTTAAGTTCATACTGGATTGAATAACTTTCAAAACTGAGGACTTGTTTGCTTAACTTAATATTACACTTACTCGAAATAACAATCAGCTAAGGTGCCTATTTAAAACCATTGACACGTTACTAGAAATTTCTCTTTCCATTGGCTACTTTCATCCCGCTCAAAGACCCTTACCAGAAATTACCTCTATTTGGAAAGTAAGAACCACATCCATTTTAGTGAGTTGGGTGTCTACATCCCCTCCGTCACCTTCGCCCCCAGTCAACTTGTTCGCTAAAGAGCCTTGCGATCTGAAACATAGCTGCTTACTCAATCTTGGACTCGGATCTGGCCCGGGGTTCCTATACCACCAATTAATTTGTACCCACACCATTTTACGCGTTACCATATCAGAAAAGCAAGACAATTGTATTACATTTATTACACATGAGTTAAAAATATTTAAAATTTGATATTTCATACCATCATAATTCCAGTGACAAATATGTAGATGTTATAATTGCCCCATGATAATGGTATAGGAGGATACATTCACAAGGTAGCATACCATCACCGATACCAAGAATGATTAAGCATGGAAAATGGGAAATATTACATAGATTATGGAACATACAAGCTATATTATAACTATTTAAGGGTGATTAGGAAAACTGTACAACTATTACGTGTATGCAAAGCCTAACAAGCTTTTGTTTATACCTAGTGTATTGAGTATTAAAATAAGTAAAAAAAGTGAAATGAAAAAGCTGTGAAAGAAGAAATGTGTCGGTCTAGTATTCTACAAATGCTTATCAGAAGCTTTCGTAGTACAAGCATTTAAGCTTTATTCGAGACCTAATCTATTAAAAAGCATTCTGGCAAGTGGAAGCTATATCCATCCGTTGTCATTTGGTCAAATAGTTTTATTGTTAATTTTGCGACCACTTTCTTTATTATTTGGAATTTAAACCATTGGAGAAACAAGGTTGTATTCGTTCGCATGTAAGAACTTTAGTGTACCTAACAGGAATCATCTACTTACGAATTGGATCTCCAACGTCTGTGGTAGTTGCTTATTGTGGCGGACACACTTGCTTGACCATTACCGTTTTTTATTTATTATTTAGAACAGGAGGCAAACGGGCAGGTGGCTCACCTGATGTTAAATGAACCCGCCGCCCATAGACACTCTCAATGCCTTCTAATGATTGGTACTCTCTTTTCTAGAAGGACCCTAAGTCGAATTGGAAATACTTCAGTAGGTATATTTTATATACAATATATTTTGATGTAGATAAATGAAATACTTGAAAAAAATATACTTTAATATGAAAATCACTTGCTATTAATTTGCAGTGACAGGAAATTAATAATACTTGAAGGTATTTTTATGATCAAGATTATTACATCAAGGATTATGTTTAGGTATTCTTGATATCAGACCTAAAGGTTCTTATAACTTCTTTTTTTACCTATAAGCTGCGACTGTTTCTTAGATCAAATAGAGTCTATTATAGTTTATTATTATTAAAGAAGGGTGGATTACCTTATATAAATTCTATTTTTAAAATTTCGTGAAGAGAATGTATGAAATATTAGTATTTTATATTTTATGCAAAATTGCACGTTATGCGAGTGTTTTTATTTTCGAAGAAATCAATTTAAATAATTAAATTTATTATTTGAATTAATTTTCCACACTTAATAATTTAATGACAATTAAATTCATTAAATGAAACATATCTCCCTTTTTCCCTCCCTCTATGTCTCGGAAATCTAAAGTTTTAGATTGGTATAAAATAACTTAAAAATTAGTTTGCCAAAGAAGTTTCACTTCTGACATGTGTACTTTGTACGCACGCACTATTTTATTATTTGTTTCTCCAAGAGTCATCTAGCTACACTAAAGGGTCAAACTACAGTGGTCATGACAACATTTGGATGAAATTTACAAGGTTAGGTGTCATCCCGGCTACTCAAGACACGTGCGCAAATTATATATGGACTTATTACTTGTACTTCCTTTATCCGGTTATGTGCCAGGATCAGAAAACCAAGAAATGAACAAGTAGAAAAAGTAACATAAACAACATAGGGGAAAATTTGGAAAATAATGAGAATTCGAAACCAATTGTTAAAGTGTTCGATTGTCTGTTAAAGTCTTTGGAGTACAGAATAATTGATTAGTTAATTAGATCTTCGTTCTTCTGTTCAAATCAATTATTCCAAAACGAGACATTTATCTCTAATTTAGTTTTTTTTATAATTTGATAAAGAGGTTCTCTGAGATAAGAAATATGTGAGTATTATTTTAAAATTAAAACCGTATTAATCGTGTTTTTTTTAAATACAGGTTTCAGCCGGTTACATTAAATGTTCTAATCAAGACATCAATGATATATTGTTTTGTGTACTTAATAAACATCTTAAGATACATCTATACTCTATTACAATTCACAATTTTTTTAAGTCAATAACAGTTTTACGTAACAAAATATTTGTTCTGTATAAAAACTGTATTCAATTTATGTGTATATGTCGCAGCCAACTAGCTCAATTAGCCGTTCAATTAACAGCTTAGTCTATTAACTTAACATCGTCGTTTAACTAGCGGCCTGAAAGATATTCAGCCGTAGCGTTTGTAACATTTAATAAATTGGCTGGCTAATGCTTAGGCCATTAGTGGCTATGTGATAGAAATAAATAAAAGACAACCATCTGACATAAGACATATTTCTTTAAAAATTAATTTGCATTCATTTTAAAGTTAAGCATTTTAAAGCTAGTTGGCTGCGACATATATCCAATATTTATTACGTTAAATAAAAAGCAATAATTTCATAAACTGACCTGTGATTATACCGCTTGATTTTATGAAGGCCGTACTTTGAGTCCGCTCCCCCCTTGGACACAGGGAGGGACTCAAGGTTGGCCATCAACAAATTTATTGACGATTTCAGTTCTTCAATATACAGCGACTCCATTTCTTTCAAAACGAATTTAGGCATCAACTTGCGGTTCTAAAAAATGAATGTCGCAGTTAAAATTTTTTTTTTTCAGTATATCATATGACTATTATGCTTTGAGTTTCAATTCACATAAAATTAAGAAAAAGACTTAATATCAACAACGAAAAGAATAATAATTACATGTTGAAGACATTTTATTTAAATATTTTGGGATATAAACTTGTTTTACTATATGGAAACTACTTATGTGCTTCGACTGGGAAGAAAAAGGTATATTACCCTTTCCATTTCGTTAACTTTCTGCATTCGACCATCCAGTTCTCTTCTTATTGCTGCAGCCTGTTCATCCGCCGAATCCAACTAAAGAAAACGAAATTAAATTGTCGTATAATGAATATTCATTTGCTTATTAGGATTTAGTATATAAAAGTAATTAGAGTAAGACGAAAGTAATACGAAATAAAATCCGTAACTGGGAAAATTTTGACCAGGAAAGCTCAATGAAGTAGGCCTTTGCCAAAGTTGTGCAAACAGATGGGTTGTCGGTGTCACCGACTCACTAGTGTTAATAGTTTAAGTTAAAAATTATGTAAAAATTTTCTATCTGATTAAAGGCTTTATTATTATTATTATGTAAAAGTAAAGTTAAATTATAAATAGTAATTAACATTTCTTTATTTTCTTGCAAATTGCAAGGCCCGGAATAAATAATAAAAAAACCAACCAGGAGTGTCCAATTAAGAGCACGCAAGTACAGTAAGTTCATAACGCAAGTTACATTAGGGTGAAAAATTAAAAATTAATTAGATATATTATATTAATTTTATTACTTATATAATAATTTTATTTAATAATTAATAATTTTTATTATAATAATTTAAAAAAAATAATCATTATATGTAGCGAAAGCTTTGTATTTGTTTTTCTAGCAGAAATGAAAGGCTTAAAAAACGAAAAAGAATGTTAATCAGAAACAATGTTCCAACTCGTAAAAACTCACCAGGAGAGCATTAAACAACAACTGATGTTCGAACTTCTTGACGCCCAGTATCTGTTGAAACATGTCATACAGCTGTTCCTTGCTGAGGATGCACTCCGCGTTCAGGCTTTGCTGCTGAGCTCGTGATGGCCGTTTGGATTCATCGTCTCCTGGTACACCTGATGGTCGATGAGTGTATATTTCATGACAGACGGAGAAAGAAGGGTAAAAGGAAGGATAGATAAGAAACGTGTCGAATTAATAAAACTTTGTGTAAAAAATTGTGTTATTTATGTTTTTCTTACCTAAATCCTTATGTATTATATTTTTAATTTTTTAGTTGCATAATAGTGATAATTTAGTAATATGTTAATAAGATATTGTACTTACAGACATCTTGTGCTTAAAATTGTAACATAAGTGTATCGTATGAGTTATCAAAAGCAAGAAATTGTATTTTTTTAAAAGCAAATATTTGAAACTAATGTGTACTGTAGTCTGTACTGGTGATGTGTAATAGATAAAAGATAAGAAAAATAATGAATGATCAAAATCTACAACATCCAGACAGCAACATCACAAGACAAAAGCCGAATGATAAAGGAATGATAAATGATACCTGGTATTCCTGGGGTGTGAAAGAGGCATCGTGAAAGAGTAGGACAGAAACACACACAGTGAGATAGCAGGCGGCACACATTGTCAAAACATTTAACATTCCGAATTCAAATATCGAACAATCCGCACTTGTTCATATTTGAATTTGGAATTTAAAACTACTTGGCTGTTTTGTTATATCTTATTTATATTTCGTTCAATAAACACGCCAAAGAAAATTCTACATATAGTAATTATATTTGTCGTTGAATTTCATTAATTAGTTTTGCATTAACAGTTCTTGGGAATAAACTAGTTAAACTATTCGTCATTATTAAGTATCGTTTAGTATCTAGATATTGTAATCCTTTTTGTTTTATACAATATGTAACAAACCAACGGAGTATAAACTTAAAATATTGTAATACTAAAAAGTGTAAGAGATCTTAATTAATTTGTTTTTTTTTAGAACAGGCGGCAAACGGGCAGGAGGTTCCTCTGATGTTAAGTGATACTCTCAATGCCAGAGGGCTCGCGAGTGCGTCGGAGCCTAAAAGTTAATCTTGCAAATGTGATCATGCGTTCATGTCCTGATGAAATGTTTTTTCGTATTTATTAGCAATTTACTTTTGTTTTCTCGAAAGAAAACTGACGGTATTTTAGGGTAAAAAATTTACGAATCAGGCAGAAGTTTGCCGACCTATGAAGAAAAATTATCAAGGAAACATATGAAGAGACCAAGACCTAAACAGCATCATTGGTTTTTTTTTTTTTTTTTTTTTTTATAGAACGGGGGCAAACGGGCAGGAGGCTCACCTGATGTTAAGTGATACCGCCGCCCATGGACACTCTCAATGCCAGAGGGCTCGCGAGTGCGTTGCCGGCCTTTTAAAAATTGGTACGCTCTTTTCTTGAAGGACCCTAAGTCGAATTGGTTCGGGAATACTTCAGTGGGCAGCTGGTTCCACATAGTGGTGGTGCGCGGCAAAAACTGCCTTGAGAAACGCTCAGTTGTGGAACGTCGGACGTCGAGGTGATACGGGTGGAATTTCGTATTCTGCCTCGACGTCCGATGATGAAACTCAGCTGCAGGTATTAATCCGAACAACTCCTCTGAACACTCTCCATGGTAAATGCGGTAGAAGATGCAGAGTGACCCCACATCTCTACGCAACGCCAAAGGATCAAGCCGCTCGGAGAGGGATTGGTCGTCAACGATTCGAACCGCTCTGCGTTGTATACGGTCAAGTGGAAGGAGCTGGTACTGGGGAGCCCCCGCCCAGAGGTGAGAGCAGTACTCCATGTGGGGCCGAATTTGCGCTTTATATAGTTGCATGCGGTGGCCCGGAGTGAAGTACCGTCTCGCCTTGCTGAGCACACCAAGCTTTTTGGAGGCTAATTTAGCCTTTCCCTCCAAGTGACCGCGAAACTGAACGTCGCTCGATATGTCAACGCCAAGTATTCCAATGCTGGCTGTGGCTTTAAGAAGAGTGTTTTCGAAAAGAGGAGTAGCGACAAAGGGTGTTTTTTTAGCGGAAAACGCGCAAACTTGTGTCTTCTTGGGGTTAAATTGGACTAGGTTTTGTCTGCCCCAATCTGAGACTCCACGAAGTAGAGTTTCAACTTCAGACACAAGTTTGTTCCGGTACTCATCAACAACTGCCCGAGAAATACCTGCCCGGCCAGTGTAAAAAGTATCCCCAGTACTGTCATCCGCATAGCAATGAATGTTGCTAAGTTTCAACATATCATTGATATGCAGAAGAAATAGGGTCGGGGATAGAACACAGCCTTGTGGGACCCCAGCGTTTACGGGTTTTAGGTCGGAACATGCTCCGTCGATGACGACCTTGATGCTCCGATCGGCCAGAAAGCTGGAGATCCAATTGCGTAATTTCTCGGGAAGCCCATAGGCTGGAAGCTTCGAGAGCAGTGCTCTGTGCCACACCCGATCGAAGGCTTTCGCTATGTCCAAACTAACCGCTAGCGCCTCCCCTTGGACTCAATTGCCTCTGCCCATCTATGTGTAAGGTATACAAGGAGGTCACCAGCCGAGCGACCACGACGGAAGCCGTACTGAGAATCGCTAATCAGCTGGTGGCCCTCTAGATACCTCAAGAGCTGGCTGTTAATAATGGTTTCCATTATTTTGGAGAACAAGGAGGTTATAGCTATTGGGCGATAGTTGGACGGATCAGAGCGATCGCCTTTTTTAGGGATCGGATGTATCAAAGCGGTCTTCCAGCACTTCGGGACAGTGCCAAGCGAGTACAGGTACCGGAAAAGGCGCGTTAAGACCGGAGCCAACTCAGGAGCACAAGTACGCAGCACAATTGGGGGGATACCATCCGGCCCGCTCGACTTATGAATGTCCAAGGAAGATAGTGCTTTGCGGACAGCACGTTGCCGGAATGTGATTTCCGGCATCGAAGAATCACACCGCGAAATGGTCGGTGGTGATCTCCCTCGGTCATCCAAAGTCGAGTTAGACGCGAAGAGACAGCCCAAAAGGTCAGCCTTCTCCTTCGCAGTGTGGGCCAGAGAGTCATCCTCCCTGTGCAGTGGCGGAATGGCGGGCTGACAAAAATTCCCTTGGACAGCTTTGGCGAGAGACCAGAAGGCTCGAGTCCCTGATGGGAGTTGGGCCAATCTCTCGCCAAATCTGGCAATGTGCTCTGACTTTGCCTTAGTGATTTCCCGTTTGAAGGACCTGGAGGCTGAGTTATATGCTTTTTTAAGTTCGCTGGTATTGGCATCACGAGATTTCGCCGCTTCCGCCCATGCCTTAAAGCATTCTCGCTTTCGACGCGAGGCCGCCTTGCAAGAACGTTTAAACCAGGGCTGAGACTTGCCACCGATCGGCACCGCAGAAAATGGAATAAAGAGTTCCATGCCCTGCAGAACCACTTCGGCGACAGAGGCGGCGACGGAATCTGGAGCTTCCGGCGAAAAGCACATAGGCCCCCAAGGGTAGGACGCAAAGAAAGACCGCATCCCGTCCCAATCTGCTGACTTATAGTGCCAAATACGGCGACAACCCATAAAGCGGGGCCGTGAAGGGCGCGTAGATGGCACAGTACTCCGGACCACACAATGATCTGATGAACCCAATGGCGGGTCAACAGAGACTTGATAGTTCTCCGGATGAGAAGTCAGCAGAAGGTCCAACAAAGAGGGTTTATGACCATCCACATCTGGTATTCGCGTAATCGCAGGGACCATTTGTGTCAGGTCGTAGGCTAAAGCAAAGTCGTGAAAGGATCTTCCCGCGTGATCGGTGGTTTCAGAGCCGAGCCAATCGGCATGGTGGGCGTTAAAATCGCCAAGTATCACGATTTCAGCGGTAGGAACCCTTTCGAGCAGGGAATCTGTAGCCATTTGGATGTGCTCAATGAGTCGGTCAGTTTCGGTATTTCCGCTATGGGACCTATACAGGCATGCGTAGAATCGCGGATGGTCATCGCAGTCTACGCGCAGCCAGAGGTTAGATAGGTCCCTTCCTTCAAGCGTCCCGAGGCGACGAGAACAGATATCCTCTCTGACGTACACGCAAACTCCAGCCCGCGGCACAAATGAATGTTCCAATTTGTACCCCGGGTAGGATAGGTGGGAAGTATCAGCCGGGGAGGATATCTGAGTCTCGGTAAGAAAGAGCAAGGCCGGCTTCGCAGTCTCTAGATGATAGTGGACAGCGTTGATGTTAGAATTAAGCCCCCTAACATTTGTGAAGTCCACGGCGAGTGTGGACGGGGGTGCCTTTGTATAATTGCTCCGTTTGCCCCGAGGACGATTACTATTTTTGTAGAGCGCAGAATTGCTCCCCCAGAATACGAAGGGCAGCCTGTGCGTCCACCACCGGGTGCTGAGTGTCCCGGTGGTGGACGCCCAGAGGGGGATTCTCCACCGCGAGCGCGTGTGGTACCCCCTGGGGTAGATTCTGTTTTTTCTGCACCTTCATATTTCTTGTGTGGGGGGGGGGGGATGGGCTCCGGGAATCTCTCTCACCGCACGAAACGCGAGTACAAGAAGGCGAACCTTTTGCATCACTTCACGTGGTGGTGGGTGGATTAACCTTCTTTTTATCTGCAAGCTTGAAATAATCCAACGTAATTGAGTAGTGACATAGGAGTGTACTCTAACTAAACGACTATTCAGGCAGTATATTTTGAATTGTTACATATTGTATGCTACTATGTTTACCTGTTGCTCGGAACATCTATTAGCACACGGAAATGAGTTACACACATTCAAAGGCAAGTTGCAGACTCAAGCATAACTCCACACAGCTTCATGCTAAATAGACACTTGACTGTTAATCTAAAAGTGTTTTGGACGAAAAGCAAATAATCGTAAAATAGTAAGTCTGAACTTATTTTTGTCTTCAAGCATCAGAGTATCAAGAATTGAATTGAGATTTAAAATTGGGACACGATAATTTTTTAAGGAATTAGCAAAAAGGTTAGTCGACATCACAGGAGACCGAAGAGCTGGCAGCTACCTCGGACAAAGAATTAGTCTAGCTATTCAAAGGGGGAACGCTGCTAGTATCTTCGGAACCTTGCATAAAGGAACTCCTTTTAATCATATAGTAGTTATTATATTTTAAGTTTAGTTATTGATTTTTGTTATATTAATTTATGGTAGCTGTAGGATTACTTAAATATTACAAAGCCAGATTAAACTTATGATGTAGATTGTAATTTGCTTCAATTATTTATATAGAATTTATCTTTTTTGGATGGTGATTGTTTAAGCTCTTGGGTTAAGCTTGATTATCTATATCTCTACTGATTATGAGCAGTGTTGCCCCGTTGCCCCTTGTCTATGTGCGCATTTAACACACGCCCGTTAGAGCTCTTGTTAACGACAACGGACAACGGCCCGATTTTTAAAACGGGCGACGGGCCGACGCGCAGTGTTCAAGTAAGTTGAGTGAATGTTTGTTAACGCGACGGGCTCATACCCGTTGCAACGTGACTCAACGGATGCGCTCACGTTGCCCCTCGGCGCGACGGCGGACTGTCCGATGCAGTGAACTATGTCATTTCATAGAAGTGTGTCCCTTCAAATTTAATAGAACTGATATCGACAACAACGGACGCGTTCACGTTATATTTAGCGTATCATGTACAAAGGTAGCCGTTTTGCGTCGGCCCGTTACCCGTTGACAAAAACGTTCGTTAACAAGAGCTCTAAGGCGAAAGAAAACATCGTGAGCCGTGCCTTAGACTTAAAAAGTGGCATAAAGGGCTGATCACCTACTTGCCTATTATAAAAAAAAAATTATTCACGAAAGAGATACCGAAATCTGAGGCCCAGACTGTTTTTTTTCTTTGTTAACGTTTCATAGATATCTGTGAACACATCGTAGTGATAAAGTCAACGTTGACACATAATTTTTGGAGATTGTTTTAGCACCACATTGTTTATATTTGAAACAAATGATATTTAAATAAAAATTATTTTGACTGACCATTGAGATTTCTATATTTAATAATAAGTAAATTAATAAATTACCATATTAATCAGGCTTTTAACTCTTACTGTAACTGTTAACTTAAGCATAAAAGTTTCCTAAACAACATGTTATCAATTCGATAAAAGTAATTGCTTGCTTACAAGTAGAACACAAATGTTACACAACGTTTGTTTCTCGTCCAAAACACACTATATCTATGTAAATTTCCTGATAAACAATGTACTCACCCGTTCCCTTCATTATACAATCTAGTTTCGCCAGCCACGTCGTCACTACAGTGTCTTTAGTGAGACCGTCAATTTCGGCTTGCGATTTGAAAATGCACTCACTGAAAAAAATTTCAATAGATTTTTTTATTTCATTTTTGTTACAAGTATAAAAATCGGATATTTATTAAAATATGTTATAGAAAGGATATACACGTGTTAAGAGGGAACTTAAGAAGGCGCAGCGCTAACCAGATCCATGCAACTTCCTCACAATCGGGTTGGCCGCAATATCACACAACTCACAAGGGGACTCTTTCTAATAGAGTCACTTCTAGTATAAAGAAATCGCATGGGTGCGCCAAGCGTCTGCAAATATACACTGTAAATACATAATTGTAGGATATTGTAGGAAAACATCTATTGATTATTTTTCAAATAACTATTGACAAGAACTGACAAAGCTTTGCTTTTGTGATTAAACAAACGGACGTAATACACGTTACTACGTCCTTTCATCACCTACGCATTTTGGACTAGAGATGCTGTTCCCATCCCCATATGAAAAAAATATTTTCTATTCGATAATAATCTATTATTTTTTTAAAGTTGGGGTATTTATTAAACGTTTGTTACACATTTTAAATGTGAATTATTTTTTATCGCGAAATTAATCTTTAATAATATTTGTAATATTTAGTAATAAATGTAATTATTACATAAAAATATATGTAAGGTTTTGATTGGAATGAACAGTTGCCCACCAAGACATTTTGCGCTTTTCCCAACAATTCACACTGGCATTGGGCTATAATGATATATATTTTTATGTAATAATTACATTTATTACTCATTCTCGTGCCTGTATTGATCACATGTTTGGCACTGTATTGGATACATTAAAATCAAATATTATTAAAGATTAATTTTGCGATAAAAAAATACGGTAAAAACGGTAACAAACGTTTAATAAATACCGCAATTTTAGAAAAATTATTAGATTATTATCTACACAAATTATTTTATTAATTCTGAATTTAAAAATTCAAATTAAATACACACATATTATATTGATTTAAAAAATAGTTCTCCATGTCAGTATTAGTATTCGACGGGCAAAGACATTACTTCCGTTATCGTTTTTCGTGTGTGTACACACAAGTTATTTTACACCATAACACTTTTTAAATACGTGTTATATGCATACTTACACAAATAGTCTATTTAAATATACACAAATATACAAGTACGTACTTCACTCTCTTCTCGATATTGTTCCTGAATACTTCGCGAAAGTCGTTATGGGTACAGGCCCCAGCTTTCACCATTTGCTCCACCCTTTCAGATTTTAAGAAGATATCGAAGTACGCCTGGACAGCATTTTGGAATGCCTCATCTGCTAATATTTGAGTTTCTCCTTTGAGGAATGCCTAAAAGAATATAAATTATTGAATAAATGAAACGCATTTTTCCTATGATTTATATATGATTAGATTTTTTTATAGAACAGGGGGCAACGGGCAGGAGGCTCACCTGATGTTAAGTGATACCGCCGCCCATTGATACTCTCAATGCCAGAGGGCTCGCGAGTGCGTTGCCGGCCTTTTAAGAATTTGTACGTTCTTTTCTTGAAGGACCCTAAGTCGAATTGGTTGGGAAATACTTCTGTGGGCAGCTGGTTCCACAAAGTGGTGGTGCGCGGCATCTTTTACCACATTTACCGTGGAGAGTGTTCAGAGGAGTTGTTCGAAATAACAGCCTGGCCACGGGACATTCGCCGACGCGAATATTCGCGCGGTGCGAACCGCGATGCGTCTAGCGACTGAAATAAACTCATAGCAATGTACTAATCAAGCCACGCGCAACGGCGACCAGCGATGCGACCGGCGAAATGTACCGAGCGAATCGCGCGGGCGACTGACGTCGCGACGGGCGAGCGAAACAAATGCATGAATCAGTACGGTGCAAGCCACGGAGTCGAGCGGCAGTCGCGGCGAATAGAGAAGGGAATAAATAAGTTTAGTCGTGGTCGCGGCGAAAAATGAATACAGAGTTTTTTGTTACTGAAATACTGGCTAGACCAGCTATTTGGAAGTCTGGCCATCCACAGCATTAATTTAATATACCTTAATCTCAAAAACAATTTTTCAGCGGAACTTAAAATTCTATTTGCATTAACTTTTTTCTCCAATTCTGGTTGAATATTCATAAGAATATAATTGAAGGTTTCAATACTCATTCTGGTATACTCAAAAAAATAATTCTGGATATATTCTGAATTTCTCATACTTCTTGTGGAATTCTCCACAATTTCTCCAAATATTAGGTCTTGCACCAAAAGCTATTACTTTCCAAGCAATATCGAGATGATTTCGATAAAGACATTTCGCTGTCGAACTTCCTTACTGGTCGCGGCGGCAAACGTGACTGGTCCGTGGCCTGCAAACGGCCCCGCGCGAATGGTCGCCTCGCCTCCCGCATCGCCGTTCGCACCGCCGATCCCCGTGGCCAGGCCGTTATACCTGCAGCTGAGTTTCATCATCGGTCGTCAAGGCAAAATACCATCCCTGTCACCTCGATGTGGAACCTTCCTACTAAATAATACTTCCGAATCAATTTGACTTAGGGATCAAGAAAAGAGCGTACCAATTTTCAAAAGGCAACGCAATTGCATGCCTTCTGGCAATGTGAGTCCATGGGCGGTTAACTTAAAATCAGGTGCCCCCTATTATAAGCAAGGCTATTAACAACCTTGGGCATTATAATCAAAATGGCAAGTCTCAGTAGATCAGCCGCTGTAGCCGAATCGGTTTAGAACTTCAGCCTTACCCTGTAACTTCCAATAGTGACATTTTTGTACGCAAGTTCCATGTTGCTCTCTCAATATACGTAACCTGCCTTGTGATTCTGTAACTCGCCTTTCGAACTCACACAGCGGTTTTCCCAGCGGCGGTCGCGCTCAAATCAGTCGTGAAGCAGTCATTTTATGATTTGGCATTCTGATAAGGACGGAGCTTGTAGTTTATTGTTTATCAGAATGCGAAAAGTGAGTTACAGAATCGCAAGGCTGATGTCGCAACCTTGGAATCGCGCGGAACAAAAACTTATTATGGAAGTTACACAGTAAGGTTTCTGTTTGGTACATACCTGAAATCTTGCTTGGATTGTCTCCAACTGGTGCATAGTGACCTTCGTGTGACGTCTAGTCATATCCGTAGGCTGTTTAGCATTGAACGGATGTGCGATACATCTGGACACAAATACGTAGAGTTGCAGTCTTCTCTTTTTGTCCTCTTCTAGCTTCTCTATCTTTTCCTGTAATTTTGAAGGTTTGAGCAGTTTAAGCACCCAGCATCATCTAGGGGATAAGGCCAAGGTTGTTTGCGATACCAAGGGCCAGTCTGTTGCACAGATCCCCGTTAGCAAAGACGTCAAGACGAAAGCTGTCTTCGACGCTATCGACATCTATGTGTTTGCACAGTAGCGATATTGTGTATATTATGTTTTTATTATATTTCTTTTTGTTGACATTATAGTGTTTTTGTGAACAAATAAATAAATTATAATATGTAAGATATGAAAGACATTACAGGAGACAGAAGAGCTGGCAGCTACCTCGGACAAAGATTTAGTCTAGCTATTCAAAGGGGGAACGCTGCCAGTATCATCGGAACCTTGCCTAAAGGGACTCTTTTTAATAATATATTTTAGTTATTAAACTTTAAGGATAGTAATTGTTTTTCTGTTATTTTTTTTATTTGTAATATATTGTTACGAGCTAGGGGATCGGATAGAAAACGCCGTAGATTTCTTCAAGGGTTTATTTTCAATTAAATCTACGAGGAATTTGTTAACACTAAAAACTGGAAATTACGCACAAAAATTCACTAAATACACTCACAAAATACTGTCACTAATTACTTTAATTACACGCACTTCACACAGTACTTTATCACTTGTCTTCACTATATTCGCACTTTGTCACTTCGGTGTTGTGTCGCTTGATATCGCATTCTTTACTGAACTAACTAATCGCGTTTCGGCTCGCTTATATATCCCTGGGAATAGTCTTGCAAGTTCGAGGACTTTCTAGGCGGGAGCGCTATTGAGTAGCAATCGCACAAGTCTAGAACTCTATCTCTCTCGCACATTGCTCCGTCCTTGTCGTACGGTGTTCTAGAGTGCTCGGTCTAGCTTCGAGAAGGTTTCGAACTTCCCTCTCTCTCGCATCATTCCGTCCTTGTCCCACACCCAGACAATTCATTCTAGACTATTCCTTCATCAAAGGGGTATAACCAGGCCTGAAAACGCCTGAAAACGGGTTTCATGAAAAGTGTATCAATCGACTACATGTGTTCTGAAAAGGCCTGAAAATGTTTCAGCCTCCTGAAAACTAGGGTAACATTATGTAAATTACGATTTTCTAATATGTGATTGACCCTCTCCTGAAACGGTCAGAAATCACATTTCAGCCTGCTGAAAAGTTCTCTAAGTAGTGGAAAAATCGACAACGATTGCAGTCGACCCGTCTTCGTAACAATATTAATAAAGTTATTACATTTATAGTAAAAAAAAGATAATATGAGTAATTATTAAAATTATACATATATTAATCGCGCTTTGCTTTGAAGACAAAAGGTGTTGAATGTCAAAAAGTCACAGCTGTAGAGAAAGTTGCATTATCTGTATTTATTTCCCCGGAGTTGGTATCGACTAAAAGATGGAGGGTTTTGGCAAAAATGGCTCACGGTGTCCTCTATTTTCGCGAATTGGAGAAAACAAAATTATAAATTATATATATATATAATTTTGTTTTCTCCAATTCGTATATATATATATATATATATATATATATATATATATATATATATTTAAAATTATGTTAAATAATTGTAAATTTATAATAATACATAACTTTAATCCGGTAAAAAGTTTTTTCTTTAAATTGTTAATATATTGTTTTGTTTCTTGTATTTACAATACTTTATGAACTTTTAAGCTGAGTTCAGTTATTTAAAAAATAAGTTGGAGCAAATTTGAAAAATCTACGTGTGTCCAGAGAGCACATTTATTCTCCCTAGTCTTTTTATTGACATCCAATTTAAGTGTTTTTCTGTTCATTCTAAGTAACAATTACTCTTATGCTATCCAAATTAGATAGAAATACATATGCTACCATCAGATTACTCTACATCTCTCTGGTTTCTGAGTTATTATTTGCCTGCCTATGGGCCATTTAAGAGTAAGGGCATTTTAAGCGTTACCTGTGGATCTTGGTCTTTATCCGAATGACTGGTCCCAGATGGACTTGGGGATGGAGCAGGAGCCTCACCGGAACTGGCACTTCCGGTTGATGTCCTGCGCAAGAACGATCTAAACGATCGACAGCGTTAAAGTTTAATGATAGTGAATTAAAATACATATATTGACCGGCTGCGACCTTGGAATAGCTGTTGGAAGTTACGTGGTAGCCTTCCTGACGTTAACAATAGAAACTTGATTCATTATTATAAATGGATTTATATATCAAAATTGATTTTTGTTTTATGTTTTCGCTATCCTTATTTCACGATTATGGCTTAATGACATTCGCTTCGGTCAATATTTGCTTATGTTATGCGGCTTTAAAGCATTTGACTGACTAACATTTACTCTGCTCAAAATACTACTAATCTAAAACAATGTTTCGTGAAACGAAATGGTTGTGAAGATCTTTGAAATTCTGCCTAATTTAACATATACAATCATATTCTTAATAAACTGTTCAGAGTGTAAATCTTCCATACCAAACATTCCAATTGTAATCGGTACGTAGACTTTTCTATAGAAACTGTCTACAGTTCATTTAAATACGAGCCGTTTTTGCATAGGCAAACTAAACGTTTATTCATTTGCAAAGATATGTTCGCAAACAGTCGACGGCGTGTGTCATGGACAGAAGGCTTATCACCTACTTGCCTATTAGATTGAAAAATGATCCTGAAACAGATACAGGTTTCTGAGACCAAAACTATATATTTTGATATTTTTTATTGTTATTCATTAAAAACAAATCTCGTCTTATATTTAATTGAAATAGTGCGTAACTACTTCTTTAACGAAAACAAACGCACATTTATTATCTACATCATTTTAAAAGTTATGCTTTGAGTGTGTATCATTGCGTAATTAAGATTTCTGTTTAAGAAAAAAATTATTGCTTCGTTAAAGCGGCGTATAATTTGGTTTAATAAGGTATTATACCGAACAGTTTATCTAGAATATGTAGGTCTCAAGGCCTACTACTTACGCATGTTGTGGGGGTGCTAACGCCTGGGCCTCCCTCTGTCGAGTCGCGGGGTGAAGGGGAGCTGCGTGGGGGGCTGTTGTAAGAGGACTTGCGCCTGTAGAGCAAGCATCACATAAAAGATCCACCTCCTTACTGTTCTTTGGCTCTTGGTTTTGAGCTCAAATTGTTTCTTTTATAATTAGGTTCCTTTATATTGGTTCTTAAACGTGTTGATTTCTTTATGAAGTTTTTTTCTATATTAGTAACTAATCATTGAGATTGAAACGTCCACTTAGTTTGTAGCAAAAAATTCTAAGCGTTGCACGTTGCATATCAAAGTATATCGCATAATAGATTAATTCCCTAATAATAAAGTATTTTTTTAATTCTATGAACTCTGTGAAAGGTTTTCATGAACAGAACATTAAAAAAATTGCACGGAAAACCTGATAACCAGTGTTTATTCTGGAAAAGCGAATAGTCTCTGTTGCTATGTAGCTACTTAAAAGGTAAAAAAATGATATTAAGGCTAATTTAATTGAGGAATGCGTAAATAATAAATATATTATTAATCATATTACCACCATCACAGTTTATAATAATAACGTGTAGTAAAAGTCTCTTTCTGTCAAATTGAGTATATGCAGTGACGAAAAGAGACAGCACTGTGTAGAGTTAATTAAAAATAATACTCGAAGCTTTTTGTATTTGAAGTGAAAAGAGATTAAACTCGGCAACTGTATAAAGCTGTATGTACACTTACGTTATTATAAACGTACGTTAAGAAGTAATTTTGGACCTAAATTGAAACTAAATTTTATTTAATTTATCTATTAATTTAGAAGTAATATTTACCTGGCAGCCCGGCTGTAGATCCTCGTGGTAGCTCTGGTTTTCCCCGCACTGATGGCCTTCCACCTGCCAAGCCTCCTGGTGGTACAACTGATAACAATTTTTATATATACATTTAAAACTTATTAGTGTGATATTTATAATATAATTATACATATTCGTATGGTACCTTACGAAAAAAATATATTACCAACATAATCTGAGTACACTTTTTCAGATTTTCCCAGGAGTTGTACAAATTCATATATATTCATTTAACCTGTAGTAACCATAATTTGACTTGTTGCCACACCCACTTAAAGAAACCCAACCCTTAAAGATCTGGGCCTTAGCTTCCTGTAGGCATGGTCACCAGGGTCATGATGACCTGCCTGACACACTTTCCTTCACCGTACGAGCGGGTGTTAAATGCGGAAAAAAACAGAAAGTCTATTGACCGGGGATCGAAATCACTACCTTAGAGAAAAGAGTTGCTTAACAAAGCTGCTTTTTATTCAAGGTACAAGACATGAAAATTGATAAAGAAAATTTACATAAACAGCCCTGCGATTCTGTAACTCACTTTTCGAACTCACACAGCATTTGGCATTCTGAAAAGGTGGGAGCGTGTAGTTTATTGTTTATCAGAATGTCAAATAATAAAATGACTGCTTCACGACTGATTTGAGAGCGACCGCCGATGCGAAAACCGCTGTGTGAGTTCGAAAAGTGAGTTACAGAATCGCAGGGCAGGTATTTAAAATTCATAAATTATTCCGATTATGCAACCTACTAAGCTACTATTATTTATTTTAATTTAATTCACATATTTTCTTTGTTAATAAAAGCCAAACTGACTTTAATTAAACTCAGAGAGTACGGGTCACGCAACATGAAACGTTAGAATGAAAAGTATTAACGTTTACATTGTCGAGCGAAACTTTCTTTCTATGTGCGCATTTAACATTCGCTCGAACGGTGAAGAAACACATCGTGAGGAAGGCGGCTTGCCTTAGACCCACAAAGTCGACGGCGTGTATCAGGCACGGGAGGCTGATAACCTACTTCCGTATGAAATTAACAAATGATCATAAATCTGATACAGAAATCTGAGGCCTTGATCTAAAAAGGTTGTAGCGCCATTGATTTATTTATTAATGAATGTATGTATGTGTTTGTAAGTTTTTATACAAATATTTTTTGTCACTAGTATAAAAAATATAAAAAAAAGGGTGCGTGTACTTATGTACGCGCGTAAGAAGTTATACTTCTTTGGCTTTCTTTATTTTTTTAAATATAATTAATTAATATTTAACGTAAACAATTTAATAATATTTAGTATATTATTCAATTATTAATTAATATTAATAACAATTATTATTATTTATTATTATTTTATTATATTATTCATTCAATTTAATAACTTGGTATGTTTCATAACCTTTTAACTAAGTAACAATAGGTCTTTGTGAAAAAGCATTGCTAAATTTCTTTGAAAAAATAATTAAAAACCCTTTATTTGTTTAAAAGGTATTATCATTATGGTCATTCAAAATTCTTGGCATAGCTGCTAACTTCACGCATATTCTATTTCTTTTTACTTGTAGATTGTCTTATTCCCATCTCGCTCGCGCACGCTATAATCACACTGACAACTTTGTGTCTCAGGTGCGCGCGCATCGTAAAACTTCACTCTCATCAATTTTTCATAACGCGCCTAAAGAAGTATAACTTCAAAAACTTTTTAATTTTAAATATTGTTCGTATTGTCTATCGTAAAAAGGACATAAATAAGATGTTCTTTTGCGACTCTTTTTATGTTCGCGACCTTTATATATTTCTGAAGTATTGTTGTTTCCTCTGTGACTCATAAATCTGATAAGTTTTTGTATACAGTCGTATACCTGTTTAGCATACTTCTGTACAATTTTAGCTTGTTAAAGAATACTACGAATTAGACGCGTAGATTTGTTTAAACTGTCATAAACCCATTTCGATTATTTTGAATAAAAAACATACCTTTTACTGGCGTAATTAAGTCTGATTAAACCTTTTAGTATTTTGTCTTAGGTGTACGTTCACCAGTGACTCATAATTAATGCTATTGTCGTAATTATCGCTTATATTATATTTTTAGATAAGAAAAACCAAAGCCAAGCCTAGATTTGACTAGGCTTTCATTGTTAAAAAAAATATTTTGATCCCTTGGTAGTAGAGACTTTTTGGCTTCGAGTACACGGGTGCTAGTGACAGATTTAAATTGGCACCTGGGATATAGTACCGGTGACCCCAGAGCTGACGATTTTCGCAACAAATAAGTATCGCCAGCTGGATGATTTTTATTTATTTATTTTACTAATTATATATTAATTAGAATAAATATTTTTATCTACACAAATATTTTAAAGAGGAAAGATTTAATTCTTTCATAATTAGAACCCTACGTTATCCCTGTATAATGACCATATGCACTAGATTACTTTTATAAAAGTTAGGGTTCTATATAAAATACGAAAGGTGTGAAAAGGACCATTAAAGATTCCTAAATCGAGTACGCTGCAGAAACTATTGACAATAGAACAAAAATGTACTTTTATAGAAGACATCAATATCTACAAAAAATCCGCGATACCATACTAACAAAATTGTTCCTTTTGCATTTAAAAGTATATGTAACATCGTGCTACGACGGAACCGGGTGGAACGGCAGAGCACAGCAATTTTTATAATAAATTAACAGAATTATGGAAACAATCAAAATATTACTAACGAACACGCGTCTTTATATTATATTTATTAACGTGGACACGCCCAAGTTCTTTGACATGAACGTACTCGAAGGACATTACAACAAACGCCATGTTATATTTTCAATTTGTCTTGGCTACATCACAAACGGAATAGTTGAATAGCCAAGGGAAAGCAGTCTCCTGAGATTGTAAACTGAAGGTATTGTGATTATATACCTAACTATTACATTACAAAGAGTTATCGTTAAATGGAAAAAAAATCTGTCTTAGAAAAAGAAAAAGTTTATTTCAGACTAGTGTTAGTAATTGCATAAATTTTTATTTTATTTGAACGCTATGGCGTATAGTTTGTTATTTTCGTCTGCCGTCTTTTGCTGCACCAGTAATTATGTTTTTTTTTACTTATTTTATTCATATCTCGCGATATTGAGGCATCTTCGTGATAAAGCAGGTGCAAGCAATCCAAATTTGTAAACAAAAGAACGGATTTCTTAGAAAGTTCGGTACGTACGACACCGTCGCGTTGGGACAATAAAGCGACAAAAGAACGGTTAATTTAGGGTGGATATAATGCTATGTACCTATAAACGTCAAAAAGAAATACATATAAAATGCTAAATGCTTGTAATTTTACATTTACTGCAAGTTCTCAAATCAAGGGCGTAGAACGGACGAGAAGAACTGGCAATAAACTTTCCGCTACTCTTTTTAATCGCATTTTTTTTTGTTTTACACAATATTTGTAAGAAGCTGCAACCATTACACCATTGCACATGACATCTTAAGTCATTGTATGGAAGACAAGCTAAACGAACCAAAGCCGAGGTTTCGACCCTATAGGGTGTTTGTCGTTAAATCGATCGTTACATGGGAGTTTACACTGTACATTGAAAAGTCGATATAGCATTGTATCGTATTATTAATTAACGCACGTCGGAAACATACTGAAGTTCCTTTGTTATTTCCGGAAGGGAAGTAATTTTTCCCTTACAACAATGCCAAGGTAATTGTTCTTTATACGTGGAAAAGGTGAGTTAACAAGGTTGTATTTTAATAGGATGTTATATTATATACTAGCTGCCCCCGCGAACTTCGTTTCTTCTAACATACCTTTTTAGTACATACCAACATGGAACATTTTGCTATACTACCCCAGAGACTGTTCGGTTTTACGGAATGAAAAGTTTTTAAGTTTTTCTGTGATATTTCTGTATATAAACCCCACAGTTCAAGTTATAACTTCTTAACTAACAAATAAAAAATAGGGTGTTGATTGTAGAGGGTAGATGAAAATTAAGAGTTGTACGTATTTTTGTATGCTGTATCATAAAAAAATAGAAACAAAAAATTTTGTCTAAAAAATAAATATTTTTAGATCACTTAGGTTTGAAAGAAAGATAGTAGCCGATTCTCAGACTTACTGAATATGCATTAAAAAATCATAAGAATCGGAATCGGAAAATCGGAAGTTGAATGTCAAAAAGTATCACAGCTGCAGCATCTTTTGTCTTCAGTCACCGTGACCACGCACGCTGTAAAGCACGCGAAACGTCGGATAAATTTAAAATTATGTTAAATAGTTGTAAATTTATAATAATACATAACTTCAATCCGGTCAAAATAGTGTTTTATTAAATGAATAAAAGTTATGTTAATCAAAGACAATACAATATTGACATACATATATGTATATAAACACAATATACAGTCCAACGGCTGGCAAAGTGTCCACTGTAATATATAGTGTGAGGGTAGATGTTGCTCTACCCGTAAGAATTCGCACTGATTCATATATATTTTTTAAATATATTTAATGTTTTCTGTTTTTTTTAAAACGACAGGTTTTTCATAGGGTAGGCTTCGGTTAAAATAATTACCTGGTAATTTGGAGGGCTGCTTCTTGTGTTCATCGTCACTATCTTCTTCAGATGAGCTGGGATCAATCATGGTGATACTATAACAAAAAAAAATATTATTCAAAAGTTGCCTGGCATGACTTAGACCCAAAAAATCGTCGGCGCGTGTCAGGCACTGAAGGCTGATCACCTTGCCTTTTTATAAAAAGGAAATGATCACGAAACATATAGAGAAATCTGAGGATCTAGAGCTGGTTTTTTTAGTATGTGGATGACTCCAGGTCTTATGTTAACTCCCGTAAATAAATAAAACTATGACGTACTAGCCAATGCGCCACAGCGAAGCGTGATTGAAGGGTTGAGAAATGAGAAAATAAACAAAGAAAACAATTCATATAAGTTAAATTTTGCAATACTTGTGGAAAAAAAAAGAAAAAAAAAATGATAAAAACAATCCTTGATGCGGATTATATATCATGCTAAAATTACAGCTCGATAGGTGCAGAAATTTTTGAGTTTTCGAAGCGTACACATACCAACATAACATTTTTATATATATAGACTAGTAGACCCCACAGACGTTGTCCGGCATGATATTTAAAGCGATTAGGATATTAAGCAAAGTATGAAAGTACCGACTGCAGTGCCATCTGCCGGGCTGTTTTGTGAATCTAAACCATCCACGGCTCCACCCAAACGTATACAAAAAAAATCATTCAAATCGGTCCAGCCGTTTAAGAGGAGTTCAGTGACATACACACTCACAGAAGAATTATATATATAAAGATATGTATTGAGACGATAAGAATTAAATAGAATGTTATCGTTACGTGAAGGTTGCTCTTGAATAGTGGAAAGTGCTCAGTCAAGGTCGCTTCAGAAGACTGGTCTCTTTATGCCGTTGCTTGGCAACGCTATTAATAGATCCGTCTGGATTATTAAAAAAATCATAGTGAATATATGGAAAAATATTAAAAGTAATTTGTTCACACATAACCATGTGTGTGTTCATTCATACATAAACGAATATATATAAAAAACATACATTTGATTAAACCACATCTACACATTTAAATCCAAATACGTTTCGTGTTCTAATAGTCTGAAATCTCTCCAGAGTGATTTTATAATTAAATCACTTTGCTAAAACTATGTTTTGTGAATCATAAGTAATGCAATACGTAATGTACTTTTAAAAAGCAGGATTTAGAAATCAGCCTTGCGATTCTGTAAGTCACTTTTCGAACACACACAGCGGTTTTCACAGCGGCGGTCGTGCTCAAATCAGTCGTAAAGCGGCCATTTTACGATTTGGCATTCTGATAAGGAGGGAGCTTGTAGTTTATTGTTTATCAGAATGCCAATCACAAGGTTTCGGGGCTACAAATGAGTAGAGGCCCCAAATTATTTTCCAAAGGAGTATTTAACAAACATAAATTATCAAAATAAAAGTTGTTTACTAGTGTTTACTAGTCGGAAATTAACACGGAAGTCTAAATTGTGGAGGCCCCGGGGCTGTGGCCCCTAAATCCGGCCCTGAGAAAGTAAAAAGTAAGATTAAAGTTGTCGCAGTTATCGGCTTAGAAGCCAATGGAAGCACTTGTAGAAGGAATACTTAGGATGATAAAGAAAATTCTTATAATTGTCGCTGTTACAAGTTCGAATTCACCTTCATTACATAATAATGCCAGAAAAATAATGGTTGTTTAAATTAACCTTTATTTCGTCTGGGGTTAAATTAAAAAAACAATATTTTAGGTTGAATTAAAATATCTTATTTAATACTAAAATTCTTTAATTTTACTTAATGAACGGCTTAAATATAACTATTCTAACTTTGATTTTGTTCCCTTTGGAGTAGAGACTCTTGGACCCTGGGGTTCAAATGCACAGGCGCTAATTATAGATTTAGCGCCTGGTAGATAGTATCGGTGACCCCAGAGCTGGTGCTTTTCTCGCTCAACGAATAAGCATTGCAATACAGCGAGGAAATGCTGTCAGCGTTAAACACTGCCACAGGGATCAAACGTTTTAAATTTGTTTTAATTTTCTTTATATTAATTTTTAATTATTATTATTACTTTGAAGGTTAAGAATATAAATACTGGATATATATGTTGGAATTAAATCAATTAAATAATTCTTACAGAAACAATATACAAATGACTTTATTTAATTATAGGCTTAAAATTATTTGGTTTGTAAGTCGACTATTGTGACGTAAGCGTGCTGATACCTCAACTTGGTGAGATGTCTGTCTTCGAACGGTAATGACTCCCTTTGAGTCCTCACCCGGAAGAAGTAATGAAATCAATTCCGGTTAAGATCTTCTAACTTTGTTGTGTCAAATATTTATCGCTGCTCTGCCTTACAAACAAATTGTATGACTTAAAACTTGGCGAAAAAGAGTTTCCTGACAGTTCTTCTTGCCCGCTCTACGCCTTTGACTTGTGAACTGGTAGTTAATTTAGAATCAATTTAACATCTTTTCTGTTGACGTTCATAAGTATACTTGGTTATCTATATGAATAAACTTATTTTGAGTTTGAGTTTAACTTTAACACCCCACCAGGATCTCCTCTTGTGTGTATCCTTCGTAAGCGCCATCAACTTGTTTGTTTTTCGTACTTGGCAAATATAACGGATTACATAAGCAATAAACAGACGGCTAATAAAAAGTAATTGGTCCATGGGGAGAGCAATAAATAATTAAAGAAACGGAAAATTGGGTCGTGCTATTAGATTTTCCCTAAGATTAGATTTTATTTCCTCCGAGTAATTGGGGCTCAATGTCTTCTTTATTGTTATTAAATGAAACTCATGTACAGACTTGAGAAAACATTTCTTTTCAATTTATAAATTGAAACCCGTGGCGGTATAAATCTCGACTCTTAAATTTAACTATGTATTTAGATTTGACATAATAGCCTGTTTAAATGATATAATATGATATGAATAGATTTTACGTTTTAGTATTATTAATGTAAAGTTTGTATATATATTTTTAACTATATTTTATTTGTTAATCTCCATACGTATAATTATATTTACACATATAGTTTATATTTGTGAACACCATAGAACAGTATGTGAGACGACTAAAAACGTCACCATATTCTAAAGCTAGAAGACCGGCAGTAGCTCTAGGCAGAAGATGAGTAGATGCTTCCAATGGGAAGCCACTCCACATGACAGCACCACAGAAGAGATTCGCTCATAGTCTTAGGACTGATTGCAATACCCGAAAAAAAAATTGTGTTGTATTTCTTTTGTCGTCGAATGTTATCCTACGTAAGTTCATAAATAGCTGTGCCGATACGAGATAAAAACATCCTCTTTGTAACCCATTACTGTTACATTTGCAAAGCATTCAATAATTTAACAATGTCGATTCATACCAAGGCGACAAGGTACTTTCTCAAGCAAATACTAAGACATAATCGAAATATATATGATATGAAAGCGAATCATTCTTTTGGACGTTACTTAATTAAACTTTTATTTGTCAATATTTAAAACACAGTTTTTAATGTGTCATTAGTACTTAACATCTTAACACGTGGTGGTAACAAAAAACGACGTGAATTTGCAAATGACATAAGTTACATAGGTTAACGGCCCTTTTTATTGTCCGTTGAGTGAACTAACAAAGTTCCACTATTTTATTTGTTAGTGCCTATAAAGAGTTATTTTATTCATTGTGTAATTCTTTAGCTTGTTTTTTCTAATTAATTTCTTATTTTTATTATGTGAATTTTTAGTGCTTATGAATTTTTATTGATTAAGGGTCACCTGTTAGGACATGATTGTGTTTTTGGTAAATAAATAGGTACGTATTTTCTTATTTCTGTTTTAATATTCATTATTAAGCTCACTTTACTGAAATTCGCAGTGACTTTGTAGCCTCTGAGGAGTCATATATATGCCATACTAATCAATACTAACTCTCTTATTAATTAATTAAATAAATAATAAATAATTTAATTAATACATTAATTAAAATAACAAAGCTTTCAAATAATTTATTTAAAACTTCGTTTCGAAAACCATGGGCGGATCGTAAATTTGTGGGGTCTGGGGTCTGGGCTATTACGGCGAAGTCCCCGTTCTAGACGCACACGCGAAACTGACCGAAAACAAGCAACGGGGAATTCCCCATTCCGTTCGATATACGCGCATCGCACATGGGTTGGTTAATCTCATGAATACCAACCTTATGATTTTTTTTTTAATTTTAGATATTTTTAAATTTATAATATCGCCTAATGTTTTCAGTGGGGACTGGGCGGGGGCTTTGTATCTACGGAGCTGCAGCCCAAAAAGCCCTTAAGTAGATCCGCCCCTGTCGAAAACACAATCAAACTTGCAAGTGATCTCTCCCAATAAACCTTCATATAGAATAAAAATAATATCTAGTATTCCTATGCAAAAGTACAAAAATTATTCAATAACTTAAAACACAAGAACCTTTTGTATCTGGTTCTTTCTACGCCCTTCGTTTACTAATTAGTGTAGTACGATGATAAGATAAATGTAACGCTTCGTTTGTTAGGGATCAGAGTACCATCATGAATTTCCAATTACCTTTTCATGGAAGGTTCTACAGTTGATATTCAATAGCATAGAGATATTTTTGCGCTTCCTTCATTTATTAGACGTGTATGAAACTAGGTATTTAAACACAATTATACTAAAAACAGCAGTGTGGTCCTAGTGGCTTCAGCGTACGAATCTCATCCCTGAGATCGTAGGTTTGCTCCCGGCTGTGCACCAGTGGACTTTGTGCGCACTTAACATTCGCTCGAACGGTGACGGAAAACATCATGAGGAAACCGGCTTGCCGTAGACCCAAAAAGTCGACGGCTATTCAGGCACAGAATGATCACTAACTTGCCAATTCGATTGACAAATGATCATGAAATCTTTACAGAAATCGGAGGACCACTAATTTATTCTTTTATATTTAAAACACACATTTAATCATCAGTCTTTAAGTCCATCTTTAGACCCTGGTCTAGTCTAAGCCTGCCTGCCGTCGGACCGATCTTCTTCAAGTATTTTGTTCTGCCTAGATCTCAATTCAAGGAGCCT